ATACAGTAGAGCGTCGTTTATCCGAATCAATTGGGGACTGGGGTTGTTCGGATAACTTATTTTTCGGATAACCAATTATGTACAGAAAAATATATTAATTTATCCCGTGTTGAAATTTTTCTCCGTTGCGTGTCGCTTCGCGTTGAATTTTCGTCGATGTTAAGCCTAACGAAGACTATTGTATCGTTTAAAATTATTTTTTTATTTTGTACAAACAAAATAAACATATTGAAAAATATAAAAACAATAAAGAATTATACTTCAGAAGTTAATTTAGTATCAAAAACGTAAAATATTTGAGTAGCCGAAGACATAGCCAAAGATTACGGCGCCACAGCACTGGCGAAAATTTAAATTAAATTTGGACTGAAATTCCTTCGGATAACCGACCTTCCGATAAACGACGCTCTACTGTAATTCAATTTTTGTGGGCCTTTGAATCTTGGGGGCCCACGACTTAATCGCTATTAGTCCCTATGTAGATCTGCCCTGGTTTGGCCAGACCCATAGTGGACCGGCCAGGAAACGAGGGACAAGATCCAACATCTGGACAGCACACTCTCCGAAAAATTCCTGGAGTTGCACATCCAGAAGCAATCCCGATTCTCCAGAGCGGTAAGATGACGCTTTAACCCGGTCGGCATTTTCCAATTGTTGAATCGCTACACTTTTAAAGCATGTTTATAAGAAAAAATAATGCGGTCGTTAATTTTAATACAGGGTGGACAAAAAGTCCATAAAAAATTTAAATAGACATAAAAAAACAATAAATTATCGGAATAAAGTGCAACTTGCATGGTAAGTACAGGGCCCGCTCTAGGGGCGGACAACCCGAACATTTGTTCGGGACGACAAATCTTAAAGGGCGTCATTTTGGTTGTGAATGTGGCAAAATATTTATAAGTATTTAATTAATCGAAATTTATATTTGTCGATTTTTTCTGTGGCTAAAATTATCACGCAATTTACATTTCGTATTTATTATTTTTGCCTAAAAGCTAAGAAAATATTTGCATTTCTTAATTTTGAAGAAAACAACCATAAAAGAGAGCTTTTTGGGCAAAAAGGAAAGCGTAAGCAACAATGTTAAACTTTGTTCCAAACCTTAGTGTCACCTTAAGAATACTACCGATCATACCAATAACTGTAGCCAGTGGGAAAAAGTTTCTATAAATAAAAATGAATTAAAAGCTTTTTACGTTCCACTACCACGAAAAATCACTTTAATAGTTTGGCCATTTTGGCGATTGTGCATGAAACTGCCGATCGAGTAAACTTAAAAGAGTTAAATCGGATTGAAAGTCATTTCCATTGTCGTTTGCATATCTATTCGTTGTCTTTTGTAAGTCATCGCTATCTATCGGAGATTTTTTAAACTAATTTTTCCGGTGAACAAAAATTCTTGTGCTGACAATATTTACAAAAAGTACAGCCCTTTTTATGTTCAACATAGTCAACAACGTGCTTTCAACACTTTTTCATTGGGATGTTGTTGGATTGATGTAAACTCGTTAGTTTTTGAATTTTTTCCCTGCAGGATATCTTCCCCTCAAATAAGTACATTATTCGAGGGGTGCACTTTTGTTTTCAACACGCCTGATTTTTAAGTACACCCATTCTTAGATATTTGTGTCTATATTATATGATTACTTACCATTTGTGCTATGTCTAGAATTCTATTTGTAGGCATTATAATTCCATTTGTCTTCAAACAGCAAAGTGACCGCACTTGCGCAAAACGAAAAAGAAGGTGGAGGGTGAGACGATCAATCAGAAACACCCACGCTCGACATCTTCGACACGTTCCGCGGTCGCCGCGTGCGGATCAAAATTATGCCAGCTGGTGATAGCGACACCTTTCGGCATTCTTTTTCGCGAACACAATCTTGCTGGCAATGTTGCCAGCTGTGTATCTAATCACATTAAAAAACAAATTACAATATTCACATTCGTGACAGTTGTAAAACGTGAAATGTGTTAATACAATCTCATAGTAAATGATTTTTTCTAAGTATATGTTTTCCAAGCACAGATTAAATCCTTATTGGATTGATGGTATAAGACAGGGAAACACGCGTGCGATCCGCCAAGTGGAAGATGTCTCCCGAGAGTCCTTTTATGAGAATACGGTAAAAAGATTCACGAGACTGATCTCTATTTAGGTAAAACCTGGGAAATCCACGCACCCAGTCCATTGGCGAGGAGCAAGCCGGCAACCAAACTACCAGTGTTTAGTGATTTTATCCATTCGGCCACTGGTGGGCGCTTCCGTAATTACGAAAAATACTGCAGATGGAATTGGAATTGTAACGGAGAACATCTACAACAGAGAATTTTATTATACATAAGTTACAAATTCTCTAGAAACGCAAGGCTAATCAAAATTATGTTGTATTATTTTAAATTAATTCTATACAGTAGATTCTGTAGCAGAAAATGCAAAAGTGCCATTTTCTACGCAAAAATATGGCGTCTTTCATACAGAAACTTTGCGCTCGAAAACCGAGACTAGATATTTTCAAATGGCGTAATTACATTCCGACAGACGTCTCGAAAAGAAACGGCTTTGGTTCGTCGTTTCCGAAATTCGTTATATTGAGGGTCAATACGTGGTTAATTTGAAAGTATCAAATATGTCGACTTAGTGGAAAACGTACTTCGGGTAAATTACTTCTGTTATTAAATGGTAACGAACGATACAAGGTTATGAGAGAAAACAATTAAGCAATTTCTGAACAAGTATTTTATTTTTATTTACGAAAAGCAACAATTACTGTGCGTATCTTCGATTACATGTCATAAGAGTAAGCAATGAGGATTCAATCCAGGTAACAATAATTAATATATAGCATTAATTATATTGCGTGTCAATGATATAGAACTAAACAATGAATCTTCCAAATTTCTTTCTTCCGCCTTTGTTATACAACAGACGTAACAACAGATGGAAACGATCGCCTTGTGTTAGATTTTTAAATCTTTACTAAGATAAATTGTTTTTTTACTAACATTAAACAGTTTAAAAATACTAATAGTAAAATATTTGTCGATGTTTTTTAGAAATACAATATATAAATTATTACAAATATGTACAGACCGGTTGGGAATATAAAATTTTTTTTCGTAACACGAGAACAGACAAAGATTTATTTTTAATAAGCATTTTTAATGGCAGTGATGATAAGAAAAAAAATATGTATTCATGAAATGTAATGCGTAAGTAACAAAGTTTCTTGCATAAAATTCACTCGTAACGATGAATTATACCTGAGAATTATTTCGAATCGAATTTTAAATAGTATTAAGATTGTTTAAAAAAGGTTTTATGCAACCAACCACCTTTGGTTTTCGTCGGTTTCGATTTAACTTCCGGCGAAGACGGGCAACTCTGAGGGTTTGCCAGAACGGGTTTCGATTCTTCGCTTTTGCTAATGTCTTTATCCAAGTTTAAGAATAAAGATTGCCGGCACAATTTCGTAATGGATGCCAATTCCTTTTCTTTTTTGCTTTTCCTTAATTTAAAATTGAGGAAATTACCACCCGATTTACTAGATTTTGTATCCGGTGAGGTGGGGGTGACGGGGGGAGAGATTTCGCTCGATGACGTCTGCTTTTCCGCAACCGATCTGCGAGCCAATCTGGATTCCTTACACGATTCCGCGCTCCTGCACAATACCAAATGAACGGAATCTGCGGAAATTGCAGAATTTGTGGACAGACTGTCGTCGTCGATTTGACAATATCTACCAATTTTATCGTTGGCATTCTCTTGGCATTCGTTCCTCGAATTGCTCGGCAAAGCGTAATTAGAAGAGGAATTTTGTAAAATAAAATCTTCTTTGGCTTTCTTTATCATCTCGGCTCTCGTGGAACCCGGACTCACCGACGATCGTTGACCATCTCTAATTTCCAGACCATCTTCGTTCTGTACTTTTGGTAGGAGATTTGATTTCTCCACTTTGCTTTCCAGTGCTTTTTGATTATATTTCTCTATAAGAATTTTAACGTTGGGGGCTTGAAGTTTAGTATATCTGTACTTAGACGAGCATTCGGGTTGAGAAGAGGATTTCTTTAATACCTGATGTGTATTTTCGCACACGGGGGTGGATGCATCGCGCGAGAAATCTCGTTTGAACTTCCTGGTGTTTCTCGATCTAATAACGGGACTTTCTGTTTTTATGGAGCTGCTCTTTTCCATTTCTTTCATACCGTTCGCACAGATGTTCTCGTTGATGGTGCCGTGAGGATAATCCGAAGATTTGCTACGAAATATTAATCTCTCCTGGGGTATTTCACTCAAATGATTAAAGTCACTCTGATTGGTTAACTTACGATTACAATGGGAATGATCCGGAACGTACTTCTCTGGTATTTTATTATACAAAATGCGATTGCCGTCGCTTTCGGATGTGACGTTAACGTTAGTTCTATGAATGGGTTTTATGAGCAATGTCCTCTTTTGTCTAGAATTATTTTTTAGGAATTTCGATTTTTGTTTTTGATTTAAATCGTCATTTTTACTGGGATATTCTAAAACCATTTTCTGAGTGGGATCTTCGTACATTAATTTCTTGGCCCCTTTTCCGTTTTTGAAAGTGATTTTATTGAAACATTCTCTGTTAGGTCCGAAGCTTTCGAGGGACGAAGAAACGTTGAGTTTCTTGTGTGGACTCGGCAATTCTTGCGTGTTTTCTCCAGCCGGGTCCGAATTTTCGCCGAGTTTATAAATGCTATCTGCCGAATATCTTCGTACTTTGATTTGATTAGGATCGGATTTATCGGTCGAAATTTTAAGCTGGATCTTGCTATAACAATTGTCTTCGCTAGAAAACTGCGCAACTTCATTATTTTCTCGATTCTATAAAATGTATATTAAAAATAATTATCTAAGTACTAAACTTGTTTATATAAAAAATATGTTAAATATCAGATGTTTCTCGTTTCTATTTTCAGTTATTGGGCAGCGGGTGATGTACTGTACGTAACATCTGCCAGACAGAAAAACGAAAAAATTTGCATCTATCTAAATTATTATCGTACTCTATAATGGAACTAAACAGAAGTCTGTTTATTATAAATAAATTAATAACGATGAAAACTTATAAACTAAGAATTTACAGCCTCTTAATAATGCGTTATATACCAGAGCGGATAAACAATACGAGTTCGTAACTACTAAAATTGAAAAAGAATGAAAACTTTTTTATTAATTGCAATTCGAGAGCGTAAAAATAATTATAATTATATAATAATTTATTGAAATCGCGTATCTAAATTTGTATCTCGTATTTTCGGTACGTAGCAGCTGTTTAGTANCCATCGTCAAACTTTTAGGCTTACGGGAAAGCGGCGCCGAACGTCACACGTACACGTTTACACGTTTAAAACGTGCGCCTCAACCTCTCTAGTATTAAATTTTCAGGTTTTCGGTTGTTAAAAGTTTTAAGGAATTACATAATTATTTTCTAGAAAAGACTCTCAAAACTTTTTTGTTAAAAAATTGCATATGAACCCAATTAGAAAAATTGATAAAATAAATATTTTCTTACACTTATAACTAATTACATAAATGTACTTGTCACTAATCCAATAAACTTGAGGATCAGACAACTGCCAAATTAACAGATTTTCCAAGCCAATGAATTTTAGCATAAAAAATGGCAAAATAATATATATACCATACTCTACTATACTTTAGACATAAATCTAGCTTACTGGACTTCTTTATGAGAAAGTGCTAGTCCTGTGGCATACAACAACATAAAAAAAGACAACCATTTATTTACCTTAACTTTTACAGTATTGTAAATCTACTTCCAAAATGTATTTATATTTTTACATGAAATCTAAATTAAGTTCAGTAATATCTAGAAAAAGAAAGTTAATGTCTTGGAGGATGGACACACACACACACACAGATTATTTTATTTTATATAAAGGAGAATTCAAAATATTTTAATTGTCTCAGTAATGACTACCAATTATAACATTATCATGCTTATTTTAATAAATTTTAAGGTAACTCTGGCTTAAATTATTTAACTGGAGTTTGTTCAAAACAACAAATATAAAACCGAAATATAGAAACAAAATACTGTTATTATTATTACTGTATTTAATCTGTGCATTTTATTCGAAAATTCTGGAAAAAGCAAAATTTCTATTGCAACTTGCAATAATTTCTTTTAAATCATACATAACAACATTTTAAAGATTTACAACTGCTAGTAAAGACTGCATCTTTAAGAAAAGACAACATTGTGTATAATTTATAAGTTTTGTAATGGGAACTTGGTGATCTATGCTATGGTGTCTCAGTGGAGGTTTCTAACCTGAGTGCCAACACTGAGTCCAACTATGAGGGATAACCAACAATGCCAAGGTAAGAGGAATTGTGAGGGGTATATCTGTGTGCAGAGCCTCCAGTGCCTATTCAACCTTGCATATGCATTGGGGACTGCAAATGTCAACCATACATTTCTCCTAACTTACCCTCTCACATACATTTTTAGATTCAAAAACTGTATATGGTTTGTATCTGTTGTAGGTTCTGCAGCAGGACAGCTGGTTGCTTGTGTGCTTAGTAGGTCTGCTGCCATTCACTCACATGGAGCTCCATCACTGCATGTGGTTCTCCCATTATGGATAAATCATTGACACAAAATATCTTCTAACTAACATTGTGTTGAGTAATAACTGTCCACAAAAACCTTTATCACTGTTGTGTTCACTTTTGACCTCAGTGGAGGTCGAAAACATTAGTGGATATTGTAACGAACACAACACTGATAAAGGTTTTTTGTGGACAGTTATAAATCATTATGTTAAGACTTATCCAAATCAATCTCATAAACTGCATGGCAATATCTGCAGTGCCTAGCCATCATGTAATGACAAAGGGCATTGACATAGCCCTGGATAAATTTTGTATTTATACAAATAAAAAGAAATAAACTACTAATATAACAAAAACTTTGGTCTCTTAATCAATATTTTTGGATTTGAAATCAATTATATTACAATTACTTAGCTATGCCAATACTTATGTTTGTCACTGTACTGTACATATTTCATATATCCTGATTCACAACACCTGACAACTACTTCTGATGCACTTTTCTACTTAATATAGTTAAGAACAAATCTATTTACCATATTATATGGCATATAAGACATACTCCATTTCAGTACAGAATATCTAGGAAAAAATATTTAGTGTATTTAAGCCATCCCATGCCTTTAACACTTGGCACCAAATATTTTTCTGTATTCTGGTTTAAACCAAAATACAGCTAGCCATCAATTAGACATTCTCAACTTTCCCGGCAACATTTAAAATTTTGGTGGCGCCATCTGTTATAATATTTTTTTTAAACTTTTTATATTTTTAATTATTATAAAATGGCAAAAAGCTTAATTTTGAGGGTAGGGATGAGTTTTATAAATACGAAAATTTTAAATGCTAATAATGAGTAAAATCATCATTAAGTCCGACCCTAATGGAGATATACGCGATCCCAATTATCTCCCCACCCCCGCGACCTTTAACCACCAAAATTTAATAGCATCGATCCGCCTAACGAACAAACCTTTCAGCAAAATTTCAGAAATTTTCGACAAAAAGCACGGGAGTTATTAAGCTTCAAAGAGGGTGAACAAAATCGTGTCTCCTCTCACACACTAACATCCATACAAACAGAAAAAAAAAATTGACCCGCCAGTGGCCAAGCGGTCTTCGTACCCCCAACACTGGGAGTTCGGTCGTGGGTTCGCGCCTGACTCGGATGGGATAACTACGTGGAGTTTTCCGTGTTTTCTCCACATCTGTAACGCCTAAATAGGGGTCAGTTTCCCTTAAAAAGACCTCCAGGAAGGCATCCCCTAGGCAGATCACCCAAGTGTTGCGTTGCCATAACTAAACAAACAGAAAAAATGCTGCCCCAAAATTTTTTTTTTGCATTTTTCGACGTTTCAAGGTGATCCATGTAAGTGCAAAAATGCAAAAATCTGGGGTTTATTTTTTGCTGGATCGCCAAACGTTCCCTCCGTAATAACAGCCGGAAAAGTAAAAAAAAAAAAAAAGTATGATTAGAATGCATACTTTTATTTATTCAAGAAAAAACAGGTATTTAAGAAAAATCACTTACCATATACAGTATATATATATGTACTGTATATATAAACTCTCTGCCACGTGGATACTAAAAAGGCCTTTCTAGCAAGCGCATTATGGATTTGGCCAGGCCCAAACAGGACAAGACAGATTCTTTCAAATGTGTTGGTTTCAGTCCCACACGGCAAAGGAATGAAACCAGCACATTTGAAAGAACCACCTCCGAAAAATGATTGGTGTTTTTCAATTTTCGATTTCCCACAACAGTAAGCTGCCATTTTTGATTTTAAAAATAACTTCAATTTACATAAATAATTTACCTATTCTTTATATAAACATAATCGTTAATTTATTAACGAATTTTCAAAAACCGAAAAGATGGCGCCGGGTTTGTGTCGTTTTAATTTAAATTCAACGTAAATATATAACAACTTTAGGATTTTTGAAAATACGCCAATAACTTTATGCAAATTCATTAAAATTTCAGTAAATATTAAACCTTTGAAATTATTTCACAAACCATTTCTGTTCTTCGATGAAGACAACGGGAAACGAAAAGCAGACGAACTTTCTGGAAAAGTATATAGTGTTGCCAGTCTTTTTTATAATTTCAAAATAAAAAAAAGGGGGGAATAAAGTTAGCTTAATAAAACGCAGAGAATTTTAAAATTAAAAAGAAAACAAATAAAGTATATATAATATTTAAAACATAATTTTTATAAATTTATATATTTATTTCACACTAAATACTATTCTAACATAATTTACATATAAAAAAAAAATTATTATGCTTAATTAGTAAACAAAAATTTCCAAAGTAAATAAACCAATTTCCAGCACAAATTAACAAGGACAAAACATGGTTGCTTTCTTATAAATTTGTACTGGAAATTGGTTTCATTTGCATTGTTTATACCCACTTGAGATACGATCCCTACTTCTATCTCCCCTCAACTTATAATCTCCAAAATGTAATAGCATCAATGCTCCATATATAGAAATGTTCCTGACAAATTTCAAAATTTTTCACCCACACAATATATAGGAAAATACAGGTCAACACACACACACAAAATTTTCATTCTTTTGTATTTTGTTTTCAGAATCTGAAGACCTTAAAATGTTGAGAAATGCAAAAATCCCAATGTGTNAAAATTATACTTCAGAAGTTAATTTAGTATCAAAAACGTAAAATATTTGAGTAGCCGAAGACATAGCCAAAGATTACGGCGCCACAGCACTGGCGAAAATTTAAATTAAATTTGGACTGGAATTCCTTCGGATAACCGACCTTCCGATAAACGACGCTCTACTGTAATTCAATTTTTGTGGGCCTTTGAATCTTGGGGGCCCACGACTTAATCGCTATTAGTCCCTATGTAGATCTGCCCTGGTTTGGCCAGACCCATAGTGGACCGGCCAGGAAACGAGGGACAAGATCCAACATCTGGACAGCACACTCTCCGAAAAATTCCTGGAGTTGCACATCCAGAAGCAATCCCGATTCTCCAGAGCGGTAAGATGACGCTTTAACCCGGTCGGCATTTTCCAATTGTTGAATCGCTACACTTTTAAAGCATGTTTATAAGAAAAAATAATGCGGTCGTTAATTTTAATACAGGGTGGACAAAAAGTCCATAAAAAATTTAAATAGACATAAAAAAACAATAAATTATCGGAATAAAGTGCAACTTGCATGGTAAGTACAGGGCCCGCTCTAGGGGCGGACAACCCGAACATTTGTTCGGGACGACAAATCTTAAAGGGCGTCATTTTGGTTGTGAATGTGGCAAAATATTTATAAGTATTTAATTAATCGAAATTTATATTTGTCGATTTTTTCTGTGGCTAAAATTATCACGCAATTTACATTTCGTATTTATTATTTTTGCCTAAAAGCTAAGAAAATATTTGCATTTCTTAATTTTGAAGAAAACAACCATAAAAGAGAGCTTTTTGGGCAAAAAGGAAAGCGTAAGCAACAATGTTAAACTTTGTTCCAAACCTTAGTGTCACCTTAAGAATACTACCGATCATACCAATAACTGTAGCCAGTAGGAAAAAGTTTCTATAAATAAAAATGAATTAAAAGCTTTTTACGTTCCACTACCACGAAAAATCACTTTAATAGTTTGGCCATTTTGGCGATTGTGCATGAAACTGCCGATCGAGTAAACTTAAAAGAGTTAAATCGGATTGAAAGTCATTTCCATTGTCGTTTGCATATCTATTCGTTGTCTTTTGTAAGTCACCGCTATCTATCGGAGATTTTTTAAACTAATTTTTCCGGTGAACAAAAATTCTTGTGCTGACAATATTTACAAAAAGTACAGCCCTTTTTATGTTCAACATAGTCAACAACGTGCTTTCAACACTTTTTCATTGGGATGTTGTTGGATTGATGTAAACTCGTTAGTTTTTGAATTTTTTCCCTGCAGGATATCTTCCCCTCAAATAAGTACATTATTCGAGGGGTGCACTTTTGTTTTGAACACGCCTGATTTTTAAGTACACCCATTCTTAGATATTTGTGTCTATATTATATGATTACTTACCATTTGTGCTATGTCTAGAATTCTATTTGTAGGCATTATAATTCCATTTGTCTTCAAACAGCAAAGTGACCGCACTTGCGCAAAACGAAAAAGAAGGTGGAGGGTGAGACGATCAATCAGAAACACCCACGCTCGACATCTTCGACACGTTCCGCGGTCGCCGCGTGCGGATCAAAATTATGCCAGCTGGTGATAGCGACACCTTTCGGCATTCTTTTTCGCGAACACAATCTTGCTGGCAATGTTGCCAGCTGTGTATCTAATCACATTAAAAAACAAATTACAATATTCACATTCGTGACAGTTGTAAAACGTGAAATGTGTTAATACAATCTCATAGTAAATGATTTTTTCTAAGTATATGTTTTCCAAGCACAGATTAAATCCTTATTGGATTGATGGTATAAGACAGGGAAACACGCGTGCGATCCGCCAAGTGGAAGATGTCTCCCGAGAGTCCTTTTATGAGAATACGGTAAAAAGATTCACGAGACTGATCTCTATTTAGGTAAAACCTGGGAAATCCACGCACCCAGTCCATTGGCGAGGAGCAAGCCGGCAACCAAACTACCAGTGTTTAGTGATTTTATCCATTCGGCCACTGGTGGGCGCTTCCGTAATTACGAAAAATACTGCAGATGGAATTGGAATTGTAACGGAGAACATCTACAACAGAGAATTTTATTATACATAAGTTACAAATTCTCTAGAAACGCAAGGCTAATCAAAATTATGTTGTATTATTTTAAATTAATTCTATACAGTAGATTCTGTAGCAGAAAATGCAAAAGTGCCATTTTCTGCGCAAAAATATGGCGTCTTTCATACAGAAACTTTGCGCTCGAAAACCGAGACTAGATATTTTCAAATGGCATAATTACATTCCGACAGACGTCTCGAAAAGAAACGGCTTTGGTTCGTCGTTTCCGAAATTCGTTATATTGAGGGTCAATACGTGGTTAATTTGAAAGTATCAAATATGTCGACTTAGTGGAAAACGTACTTCGGGTAAATTACTTCTGTTATTAAATGGTAACGAACGATACAAGGTTATGAGAGAAAACAATTAAGCAATTTCTGAACAAGTATTTTATTTTTATTTACGAAAAGCAACAATTACTGTGCGTATCTTCGATTACATGTCATAAGAGTAAGCAATGAGGATTCAATCCAGGTAACAATAATTAATATATAGCATTAATTATATTGCGTGTCAATGATATAGAACTAAACAATGAATCTTCCAAATTTCTTTCTTCCGCCTTTGTTATACAACAGACGTAACAACAGATGGAAACGATCGCCTTGTGTTAGATTTTTAAATCTTTACTAAGATAAATTGTTTTTTACTAACATTAAACAGTTTAAAAATACTAATAGTAAAATATTTGTCGATGTTTTTTAGAAATACAATATATAAATTATTACAAATATGTACAGACCGGTTGGGAATATAAAATTTTTTTTCGTAACACGAGAACAGACAAAGATTTATTTTTAATAAGCATTTTTAATGGCAGTGATGATAAGAAAAAAAATATGTATTCATGAAATGTAATGCGTAAGTAACAAAGTTTCTTGCATAAAATTCACTCGTAACGATGAATTATACCTGAGAATTATTTCGAATCGAATTTTAAATAGTATTAAGATTGTTTAAAAAAGGTTTTATGCAACCAACCACCTTTGGTTTTCGTCGGTTTCGATTTAACTTCCGGCGAAGACGGGCAACTCTGAGGGTTTGCCAGAACGGGTTTCGATTCTTCGCTTTTGCTAATGTCTTTATCCAAGTTTAAGAATAAAGATTGCCGGCACAATTTCGTAATGGATGCCAATTCCTTTTCTTTTTTGCTTTTCCTTAATTTAAAATTGAGGAAATTACCACCCGATTTACTAGATTTTGTATCCGGTGAGGTGGGGGTGACGGGGGGAGAGATTTCGCTCGATGACGTCTGCTTTTCCGCAACCGATCTGCGAGCCAATCTGGATTCCTTACACGATTCCGCGCTCCTGCACAATACCAAATGAACGGAATCTGCGGAAATTGCAGAATTTGTGGACAGACTGTCGTCGTCGATTTGACAATATCTACCAATTTTATCGTTGGCATTCTCTTGGCATTCGTTCCTCGAATTGCTCGGCAAAGCGTAATTAGAAGAGGAATTTTGTAAAATAAAATCTTCTTTGGCTTTCTTTATCATCTCGGCTCTCGTGGAACCCGGACTCACCGACGATCGTTGACCATCTCTAATTTCCAGACCATCTTCGTTCTGTACTTTTGGTAGGAGATTTGATTTCTCCACTTTGCTTTCCAGTGCTTTTTGATTATATTTCTCTATAAGAATTTTAACGTTGGGGGCTTGAAGTTTAGTATATCTGTACTTAGACGAGCATTCGGGTTGAGAAGAGGATTTCTTTAATACCTGATGTGTATTTTCGCACACGGGGGTGGATGCATCGCGCGAGAAATCTCGTTTGAACTTCCTGGTGTTTCTCGATCTAATAACGGGACTTTCTGTTTTTATGGAGCTGCTCTTTTCCATTTCTTTCATACCGTTCGCACAGATGTTCTCGTTGATGGTGCCGTGAGGATAATCCGAAGATTTGCTACGAAATATTAATCTCTCCTGGGGTATTTCACTCAAATGATTAAAGTCACTCTGATTGGTTAACTTACGATTACAATGGGAATGATCCGGAACGTACTTCTCTGGTATTTTATTATACAAAATGCGATTGCCGTCGCTTTCGGATGTGACGTTAACGTTAGTTCTATGAATGGGTTTTATGAGCAATGTCCTCTTTTGTCTAGAATTATTTTTTAGGAATTTCGATTTTTGTTTTTGATTTAAATCGTCATTTTTACTGGGATATTCTAAAACCATTTTCTGAGTGGGATCTTCGTACATTAATTTCTTGGCCCCTTTTCCGTTTTTGAAAGTGATTTTATTGAAACATTCTCTGTTAGGTCCGAAGCTTTCGAGGGACGAAGAAACGTTGAGTTTCTTGTGTGGACTCGGCAATTCTTGCGTGTTTTCTCCAGCCGGGTCCGAATTTTCGCCGAGTTTATAAATGCTATCTGCCGAATATCTTCGTACTTTGATTTGATTAGGATCGGATTTATCGGTCGAAATTTTAAGCTGGATCTTGCTATAACAATTGTCTTCGCTAGAAAACTGCGCAACTTCATTATTTTCTCGATTCTATAAAATGTATATTAAAAATAATTATCTATTCTATATTATATTATATTTTTGCTTTTAAATTAAAATTTATTCAAAAGCATGGTGGCATTACGGCTTTCTCGGATGCCTACTATTGTAGTTAAAATAGTTAACTGACTTCTGGACCACCCTTTATATAATATAATGAAATATAATTGATCTTTTAGTATGTATAATGCTTAACTTTCTAAATAATCACAATTTTATCACACAACTAACACGAATACGCAGGATGGCTCAAAAGTCTATTAACCATTAGCTGTTCTGTTCAAACAATTAGAGGAGAAGGTGGTATTATGGAACCCCAATTACATTTTAGTGAATTGTAAACAAGGTATTCACAGGTAAACTACATTCACATTTTTTGTGCGAAACTACTGGTAACTAGTAATCTAAATGTTCCTAATTGGATTTTTCGCTAGTGTAATTATAAGTATGGTTTTTGAAGGCTTTTGTACAAAAAGTCCGAAAGTAGGCTTAGAGAAAATCGGGTGGTAATATGGAACCTTACCGTATATTTTCAAAAAAAAAAAAAATGCTTTAATGTAGCCAAAAACAAATAGGAAAAGACAAAGAAATGTTAAATAATTACCAAATTATTTACTCCAATGTATTTTATCGCAAAAAATGCTTTTATAATAGAAAAATATGACCTCCATCAGCAATATATATTCCAGCAGCTCTTTTTCGATAATCTCGGGAAGAATTGGCTTTCTACCTAGTGTATTTTTCACAAATTGCTCTGGAGGAATGTCTGCTTGCAAATAGAAAGTTCGGAGGAGTTGAGTTCCATATTACTGTAAAAGCACCAATGGGGTCCGTATTTCACGCATCGCCATCTTGAATTAACTTATGTCTGTCAAGATCAAAATTTTAAAAACGTGAAAATCACACATATTAATATGTACCCCTAAGTCTCTGGAACGGAATACATGCACCAGTGAACCTACAAGTACACGATTTATATTTTAAAAATAATTAAATTCACTTAGCATTCAAAACTTGCGAATTTTGAAAAAAACAAATTTGCTGATTAAATACGGACAACCGTTTAACTGAAGCAAAACGGATTTTCCCTTTGCTATGGATGTCTGTCTATTTCAGTTTAGCCACATTCCGCTACAGTTCCCCTTTATTATCAGTTCGAAATGGGGTGGTTCCATAATACCCGCAGTGTTCCATAATACCACCTTCTCCTCTAACTTCTTTTTAGTCGCGCTTCCATCAATGTTGTAAAAAGAAAAACTCTTTGTTCTAAACTCGGATGGCGATTTGCATTGGCAAGTGTATCTGGAAAAGCACGAAACGCGGTTGACTGACTTTCGGGACACCCTCTGTTAATACGAAAACTTACAACTCATCTTTTTGGTTGAATTTAATTGTAGTCGGAAAAGAATTAATTCTCCCGAACATCCCGAATTGTATTTAGAGTAATGCCACTTATCTAAATCTTCTAAAGTAATTGCATCAATTGAGTCGCCCAAAAGTCAGCTAACCAGACGCTCTCGCAAATACGAAACGTAAACTTAATTTATTCAAAGTCCCAACGACGAGTAGGATCTGGTTTTCGGACAGCTTTCATAACAGTTGCGAAGTAATAAATTACTCGAATAAGGAAGCAACCCAATGGTTAGTCGACTTTTGGGCCATCCCGTATTTCGAGAACAGAATAAATTACACGCTATATTATGTAAAGTGTAAATTGTAAAGGAATCCTACCGTATCAACCGAATCGAATGCAGAAAATCCATCTTGATCGTTTTTTAGGGTAGCATCTAGAAAGAGGTTAAAACTGGTTAAATTGAATAATAAAACAGGTTATACAAAATGTATAATCTAACCTGAAGTTAAGGATAATTTTAAAAGTTCTTTATTAAGTTCGTGCACGGTGGTTGTCAGATTTGACGTTTCGAATCCCATTTTATTCCAATTGACGTAAGCTTCGGATGATTCTTTAAGTAATCTTTCTGGAAGTTGCTCTCTGGTTTCGTTTTCCTACAATTCAATGAAATTATTTTAGCTTATTTTTAATTAAATCAGCAATAAAAACGCGTAAAGTATGGACTATTCTGTTGTCATAATTCGAGTAAACAAAAATTTCATTTTGCGTTGTAAACGAAACAGTAAATCGCATGGCTTTTAACTTCTCACACTCGAACTTGTGTATAGACCTCATTAGACGCTTTGAGATACTTCGGTTTAGTATCACACTCGATTTAGCGTGAATTTCAGAAACTAGAAAACGGGTGGCACTAAATCAAATCTTACTAGTGCATAATACTGTAATACGTATACAAATAGTACGAAAAATTAATTGCAATATTACATTTGCCGTTAGTATTTTAAGTTTTTATTTGGATAAGACAACGCCACAAGAGGGCAATCTGCCGAAAGGTAGTGCCTACCCCGGAAAACTGTCCCATTTAGATATCAGATACGTGAAAAAATTAAAAATTCGGCGCAGCCAGTGCTCGGTCAGGTCCGAAACCCGGACCAACTTACCAGTGACCAGTAGTTTTAAGCACTCGATCACTGGGCGTTGATGGATTTTGTGACAATACCAGATTACAAATGCAACAGAATGCTTTATTTTGCTTACAGATCGGTCCCACCTACAATTTGGTTGGCCAGATGAAATTACTGGTTTCGTACAATTAAATTAATCTGTATCTCGTGAAGAATGAATTTTTCTCACGAGGTACCATCACACTAAAGATAATAGTATCAACTTTATTTATTACGGGTGAGCCTAATCTGTATAATAACATCGTCGGTGTAGATGGAAATTGTGCACAAAAACAACCGACTGGTGCGTGGTCGCAAAAGATTGGATCCAAACTCGGACCTGTTCTATTAATGGGTGAATCTATTTATTGACAAATCTTCCAGAAGACATCTTGGAAAACGTCTACAAGACGATTTCACTGAAAAGTATTTTTTTGGCCCATTTCACGAATTATCAATTTCTAAACTACTACCTTTAAGAGCAGAGAACCCCCGAAAGAAACTTAATATTACACAGGGTACATACTTTCTCCCATGGAAAAAGTCGTTCACTAGACGATAACGAACGTTTTTCAGCAAATTTCGCCCTTTTAGCAGCGGCCCTGGCAGCGCCTCCTTGCCATCTAACTCTGTGCAACTCCGTATGCAAACGCAGTGCAGAAACATCTCGATGCAACAATTCCCATCTTAAATGGCAAACTTGTCGGGTTCTTTCCGATAATACTTTTTCCAAGTTTTGAGTCTGTAAAAATATTTTTAGTAACGTATATATTTATACGTAATAAACTTATATACATAAATAGAGGGTGGTCCAAAAGTAAGAATATAGCAAAGTTTACAAAGTTTGTACCTAACGAAATATTCGAATGAATAAAAATTTGGTTAACCGACTTTCGAACCACCTGTGTTTCAAATGAAAATATAAATAAATATTATTTAAAAGGACCTGTCTTAATAATTCTGCAGATAGTTGATGTAGACGATCGACATTATCCAAACGAAGAATCTTTCTCGCCTTTTCTGTGTTTTGTACTTGAAAAATAAAATATTGAAATTAATTTAAAGCAACTTATATATTCTTTAGTTTTGAAACGGCGTAAATTGCTTAGAAACTTAACACACAAGTCAAAATTTTGCAAATTTCAAAACTTACAGTAAGTGTTGCTTTCACAACACGAAGAAAACTTTTGTAATTCTTTCAATTTTCCGATGAGATCGACAGTCATTTGAGATTGCTGCTGGTTGTGATATCTGAAACTTTCCTATCGAAAGATTTATTGAAATTTCTCATTCTATTTCCGAAATATTTTAAATATAAATAAGGCTAAATTTTACCTCCAACGCTTCTCTATCGCATTTCAATTTTTCTCCGCACTTCTCCAATTCTTCTATCCTACTTTTTAATCTGTTTATCATTTTCAAACATCCCGGTAAGTCTCTTGGATTGCTCCTTGATCCATGAACTTCCCACAGTTTTTCCTTATACTTATCTGCAAAAACTTGTTAGGATTTAGTAAATGTACCAGGTAATCGAACTTTTAAATCTGGAATAAAGGTAGAGGGCTGTCCGTAGACTTAGCCACAAGAGGAAGGAAGGTATGGAGTGGGGTAGAGAAGGGAGAGGGAGTGGGAGGGAGAAAGGGTTGAAAGTAGAGTAAAGGTGGGTCCCATTCACTTCGCGCATTGCACTAAATGATAAAAGAACATAAAATATGTACAAGACAGTGTAGCCCTTTGGGTAAGGTGAACTTTTAAATCGGGTGAAAACCATCAATAATAAGGGAGGGTCGGGATTGATGGAATGGGGCAACGCAACCCTCTCGTAGTCCTTTCGTGCATGGGAGACTTGCCACCAGAGGACTTTCTACGACTGGTCCCTATTTAAGTGTTACAAACGCGAAGAAAACCAGCTAGTCAGCCGCGACAAAACTGCACACCAGATCGTTGGTGAGGGACGAACCAGTGTTCGATGGTTTTATCGACTAGACCATTGTCGGGTACAATCACTAACCATGAAATATGTAATTTGATTAAGAAAATAGGGATTGGTAACATTGCGACAGTTACTTTTAGTTAATTTTTATGGATTTTACTCTAAATTTAGTTCAAAACGGTAAATTATATTTTCAAAACATTTTCAAAGCTAAAAGTTACGGAAAAACATTTCATTAAATGGATAAAACGGATAATACAAGTCGATACTAACCTAAATCTTGTTGGTGTCTTCGATTCATCTCTTCCATCTTTTTATCTAAGTTAATCAATTTTCTTTCTAGATTTCTGCAAATGTCTTCTTTGTTTTTCAGCTGTTCCAGAAGAATCACGTTCTCTTCCAAAAGGCTATAATAGTTATCGTCCGTTTGATTCCCCTGTTGATCTCCGGTCTTATCCGTCAGACCTCCTTCCGAATCGCTGTCGATCAAATGCGTCACTTCCGGTGGAGAGTATGTTTTCGTAGGCAGATTTTCCATCACGTCTCCAGGTTGGTACCTCGAAGGCATTTCCTTTTGTTGTCCAAAATGAAACATGTCGGGTTCGGAGTTAGACCTGGAGGGTTGAGGAAGCTCGAAAGTTATGTCTTCGGGTTTTAAGGACGGAAGAGAGTTGGAAGAGTTGTGCGAAGGCTGTCCTACTTCTATAATGCTGCTTTCCGATTTGGACAGACCCCGCTGAAGATTTAGGCCCATGTGCTTATCGCTTCCCGGCGTGGTTTTGAAACTGGCATCTAGTAAGGCTAGGGTAGACAGTTCGGGACCCACTCCCAATTTCGTTTCCCATTCGTATAGCTTTTTAGTGAAGGCATCGGATATGCCTTCGAATCGAAATTCTCCGGCGGAGGTTCGAACCAAAACTTCTTTTTTATTGGCCGCTCTGGCGTTTAAAACCGTGTCTCGTAGCCTTTCTAACCTAATGGCTCTCTCTTCGTACTTCTGCCTTTCTTTGGCCAGTCTCAACTTTTCCTTTTCGATCTTCTGCAATTCTTTCTCCAGCCAATTCAAATCTTTCATTTTATGTTTCTGAGCCTTTTCTTGTCTTTCCCACTTCCCTTTTTCTTTATTGGATTTCCTGTTTTTCGTGGCAGATTCTTTTCGTTCGAATTTTGGGCTGGACGATTTGGGCCCGCTCGAGCGGATCTTCTCCCACTCCTTAATTTTTCGATTAAATTCTTCGCTAAGGTTTCGTTGTAACTCTTCTACGGCATTGAAGTCGAATATGGGTGCAGAAGTGGAAACCGATAATTTCGTGTGAGTGTTTTCTTCCGAATCGCAAGATCTACTTGGAGTTGCCTCCGAATATTGAGTTTCTGAAAATCATAAATAATCATCTCATTAAATATTATTTTTTATTTTGAAAATATTTCTTTGTTCCGATGATACCCCAGAGCTAAGTGGGGTGTGAAAGACTTACTTTTAAAATTTAAATAAACGTGCCGTACACACCAAAGTAAGCCAGACAGGGTGGCGGTTGCAAAAATAGTCGCAATCTATTAATATACGGCAATAAAAAGTTCTAGAATACTGTCAGCGTGGTTGAAAGAACGACTTTCATCTGCGGTATTCACGAGTTTATCAATTTTTTTTTAATGCAACACGAAATAAATCATTACGTTTAATTATTTATCTGCGTGTAATGGATAAGAATATGCATAAAGATATTTAATTAGCTGAAGAAACGTAAGATATTTCCATTAGTCAATACGTATCCTCAATTACATTACAATTATTTAGAAACATTTGGATGGTAAATATGTGTATTACATAGGCGCTTAAGTGTGTGTGAGTGTGATCAAGCAACAGCAGATACTTTTATACTTTTTATCTCTGCTATAACTTGATAAAAATTATTATCCGTATCGAATTTTCCTTGCCCGATTTAAAATAATAATTTTAAATAGAATCGATCTCTAGAAATGTGTCGGTATGATTTATCCCGCTTACTGTCTAATTCTATTTAAATCATTAGACGTAACTTCCGATGCAAATAAGAGTAAATGGATTGGAATAGTTGTAAACTTACGTTGATAGGAAGGCGAAGAACTGGGAGTTCTCATTTCTTTGTACACATCAAACTCGGAGGTAGGTCGATCCGAATGAATAACTTCTTCACCCGAAGAGGAAAATAAGTAGAGAGAATTCGGCTTCTTTCTCTGTTTTTGTTCGTTATCCGATTCTTCTTGATTGGAATTCTTAATTTCGCTGGATAAATTGGGCGAACTTTCCGTACTCTCGAAATACATTTTGTTGTAGAAAGCTTCGTCCTTAGGAAACTCTTCCAGGTTTTCCATGGATACGTTGGACTCTTCCGTCTTCTTCGTTTCTTCCCTTTGCTTTCTTCTTAAACTGTCTTTCCTGCTCTGAATAATCGTCTTCACTCTTCCCCAAGGACTTTTGTGACTCTTTTTCAATTCCTTTTCGTATTTCGAAAACACCTGCTCCGGATCGATGTCTCTTTCCAGTGTCAAGGATTTTTGCCGTCGATCTGAATACAAAATTCCAAACCTTCAATAAATAACTTTTGCGTTAAGAATTTTAAATTATTAAAATAATTTCGGTTACCGGAAATATTGGTTCTAAAACGGGGACTAGGAGTCTTTCTTCGTGTTACTTCCTGAGGTAATTCCAAAGACCGTTTGTCCGAGACGTAAACGGAACGAGATTTCCATTTATCTGTATAAAATGAATAAAAATTAAGTCTAGATATTTTATTCGTAAGCATTTATAACTTGGGTACTTCTACAGTTTACAGTGGGGTCCGTATTGCTTATACCTTTATAAAGAAGTGATTAGGTTAATGGATAAGGCAACGCGATACGTGGGCGATCCGCCAAGGGGGGATACCACCCGGAAGGGACACTAGCACCTATTTAGCTGTTAGAAAATTGACGAAACCCCGGAAAACTCCACGTGGCCATTGGTAGACAGCCCATCGGTAGTGACGAACCAATGAGCTGGTGATTTTATCCATTATACCACTGGTGGGGCCTTTATAAAAAAAGTGGACTTACGTAATTCATTCACCGTTACAAAGACGAAGAATTCGTGTGACGAGGTAAAAGATACTTTTTCTTTGTTAAAACATAATGAATATCTAAAAGACGAATCCATAAGAAGGAGAACAAAGACGTTTTGAAAGAATTCGGAAATTACTCGTTACTGGACTAGTGTATCAATAAACAGAAAGTTTGATGTATTCAGAACTTTTATAGAATGGATACAGACGAGCTAATAACAGGCTATTAAGGCTATTACGTCACACTTTTTACGTAAAAGGGGGATAAATAGGAGACAATAATTTTGAAAATGATGACGTTACAAAATACGTGTTACAATAATGTTTCAAGTAGGAGGTGCGTAATCGAGTCAATTACAAATAAAATTACATATTCAATAACATTTTACAACTTTCTAGGCTATGTAATTAACTATTATTAAATTTCTTGCTACAATGTATAGGGCCTAAAATTGTTTACAAGATGTCCGAGGCTCACTGAGTTATAGATTCCCGGTCCTATAGTCACGTCACTGGTCTGAAGTAGTCGTATATTTTTATATATAGTCCCGTACAAATGATGACAAATGACTCAAGTTATTAACTAATTATAGATTTAGTGTCGAAGTTGATAGCAACATTTCGTTTCCAACCGATGATAACTACAAAAGTCAGTATCGGTACAACTAGAATTACCTGTGATCAATTGCTGTTTCGGCTCGTTTTGACGCTTCGTCTTGCATTGACATAAAGTCATTTCAACACGCCAAGACACTTCATACCGTTTTAGCAGGAATCTTTGTGCCATACATTACAATAAAGAATTTTTCTACGTGTTATAAATTATAGTATCCGAACTCCTGTACATACTTTCGTGTCATTTCAATCCCGATTAACTACGTACGAACTTACTGTCCAGACCGGAAGCCACGTGATTTCAATTCAAGGTTTTCTCGCGAACTGAGTTAGACAGATGATCGGTGTGTCTCGGTTTTTATCAGCAGAAACAGGGGCAAGACACCACTAAAATCCAGAAATTACAGCCCGGCATTGTGACGATGTTATAGTAAATAATTGCACGCTTTATTTTTATGTGTTTGGTTGTAGAAGCAACTAAGCGTAAGAGGAAGATTGTAGTATCCACGATTGAGGTGAAAAAAGAACAACGGAAGCGGTACACGTGTGACGGATCTAGCAACAAGTTTAAGATGCCGAAGTCGACAGTATGCACAATTTTTGACACGAATTTCTATGTAAAGGAGTTAATATCTTTGTATAATTTGTAGCGAAGTTTTGCAGGTTTCGAGCACATAAAACACATTTGGAAAATCATCGAATACACGTCGAAGAAGCTATTACCCTATATTTTTTTTTGAAAGAAAAGCGTTCATCTCCCTCAGAAAATATGAAAAAAAAAAAAAAATTATAGAAAATGTCAAAGCTCTCAACTGCCCTCTTTTGAAGTCAGATCCTGTATTATATTGATATTTAGTATAATTTAAAAAATTCATGTCTTACGATCGATAGACGATAAAAGCTTATTAATAATATATTAAACATAACACAAACAAATTTGTCGGGTGTTAATGCCTTGAGCTTTATACGTATAAATATAGAATCATTTATGATGTATGTATGTATACACGTGTGTTTCAGCAACTATAAAGGGTAATTCGCAAAGTTTTATCCATAGTTAAGGAGAGAATTCCAGGTAGAATTTATCCTTAACTAAGGATAAAATCATCATGTATACTCATATATGTATTATATATGCACACTTCTGTATCTGTTGAATGGGCCTATATTAGATTTCTGTTTGACTTTCCAATTTTATTATCTAAATTGTGTGTAAAAGTTGTTAATAAACAATCGATTAGGCCTAAATAAATACACTTCCAAAATCGAACAAAGCAAAATGTTTCTTATAGAGTTTTCTTTTTGGGAAAATGTTAATAATTCTCACCAAGAAGAGATAAAAATTTTAAAATTAACGGATAAAATGATCTAAAAATGATTTTCTATTTGTAAAGTACGCGTTAGAGCTGGTGCAAAATGGCCTTGCCTCTACCTGTATAATACGTTACGGCCGATAGCGAATATGCAGGGCCTCTAAAAGATCTCGAGAGGCCCGGGCCGCTTACTTTTAGAAGCTTCAAATAATAATAATCACATAACATAAATATTGGACTGAGCTAGTCAATCTGGAGGCATAGTAAGGGGTGAGATTAAATAAATTCCAGCAAAATTTTTTGCAAATAATTTCTGAGCGTGTCCCTCATAATCTGCGTGAATAAATAAATAAAAATACATTGCAATCATCGTACATTCAGAATATTTATAACATTCCAAGAATACTATTTTCGTATTCGTTCGCCATTTTAAAAACGAATTGGCATCCATTTAAAGGGCAGGTTCCACACCGCCAAGACCAACGTATCAAAAAAGATTGAAAAGGCATATAAAATTCTCTGTATTTAAACGAATCTCTTTATATGTTGCGCAATTACAATTATTTTTGTGAAAATATAGAATAGGATCGGTCTTAAGTCCTACACCGTGGAGCCCTATTGGGTTCTATTTCCAGGGCATCCGCACTAATGTCATATATAACCTTAATATGGGTGTCCTAGGTTATAATAATTAGATTTCTATCAACATCTAACTGAATCGACTACCACTAAATAAATGTCTTCAGCTTTCAGAGAAAACTTTAAAATACCGTTGAGGTCGACTATGAGGAATACGAATCTAATGTGCTTGTTATATCCGTGAGGTAAACACGTTATAGCCGTAAATATTAACTAAAAACAAAACGAAAAATTTCTGGCAATAACCTTAAATCATTATAACCGAGTTCGACGTATCATGCAACATATCTAAAATCTTTTCTAATTGGTTGGCTAATAAATTTTCCGAGTCTGCTTATGTTTTCGTGAACGTTAAGAAACGATTAAGAAAAACCTTGAAATTCCGAAACCAATTGTTTAATATTATTAAACCAACTGCATTTAAGTCTAAAATTACAACCGCTTCAACTCAGTATGAAGTTGTTATTTTATCGGAAATTTCTACGTACAGTACATACAAATATTTAACGCATAAAGTCGTTAAGAATTGCCTATTTGCCTTAAAAACAATCTAATTATTTAATGGAATTTTTATTTAAAAATAATTCGTTGCTTAATTGGATTATAAGAAAGAAGACAATTTAAATTTATTGCTATAACATAAGAATAAACATGGAGCCAAAAGCAGAAAAATGTCCTTGAGAAGTTGTAAACATGTTTCCTTTCGCATCATCTCAGCATCCTTTGTAAATTGATGAGAAATTCTTTCGATTAATTAATGGGCATTTGGGTATTAATCCGATACTCTTCACTAACATATCTTAAGTTGATGATGCAAGATATGTGACTTCACATAACTTTCCAAGCTTTATTATATTCTAGGTCATTAATTCTCTAGATGCAATCATTTTACATGTAATTGGTTTTATTTACTTGCATTAGATTAATTGCATGCTCGAAATATAATGGAAATGCTTCTCGATATGTACTACGCACGATCAATTGCCATTGGGTGCCTCTATGGGCAAGCACCTAAGCGAGCAAACCAATAACGTCATTGGTTTGCTTACCTGTAATCAGACCTCCCGGTTCATTGAAACAAACTGTGTTCTTAGACAAGCAATACCAAGAAACATTTAAGCGTAAACAACGAGAACTTAAGAGAACGGAATCCTTCAGGACCACCGGTAAGAGAATCTTCTGGAGAGGTTATACGGCACAATCTGACAAGATTACACAACTTAACAAGTAATTCTCATAATACCTATATATACCTTAAATAAGTTTACCTGACTCGAATTTAATAAGAATTGCTTAGCCTTCATTACGTCTTTTACAAGAGAACGAGTATATATCACAGGTGAAAAATTCTATTATTGAAGGACGTCAAGATTTCTAAGAATAGTCAATCTCTAAACCATTCAGCCATTAAAAACATCCAATCGGGGCCACCAATCTCGTGTCCGGTTTAACAGACATTTTGTTTCTATTGAATCAGACATTCTTTTAATATTTCCTGATACTCTTCACATATTTGGCGACCCGACATAAATGCTAAATTTGTCACACCATTGAAACCAAATTCTCTTCGTGTCATTGTCGAACACTCACCTCGCTGTCTAATAAAAAAAACAATGCGGTTCCTTTGGTAGATCTTGCCAATAATCCGTCCATCTATCCATTTTTTTCATCATATCGTTAGTAATTCGTCTGTCCACGATGCTGTTTACGTTACTACTGCTGTGTTGAGTTATATATTTGGGCATCACAAGTGATTTTCTTTGAATTTTCAGTGGTGACATTGAAAACTTTAGTAATACTTCTTACAGACATTTTTGTTTCTTGGCTCTAACTTGTCTGTCTGTCATTTCCAGTTGAAGCATATTTAAGCCTGCCTGAATGAGCATTTTATTCATAGCAACAGATCTTTCGAGATTTATATTCAGATTTTAATAGTCAAATCCTGACTAATTCTTCAGTTGTAAATTGCTTTGCTTTTCGCATCCTGCCAGCGCGTATCAAAATATCTAATTTGCATATTTAAATATCAGAATATTACATTTAAATGGCTAATATATAATGCCATTTGAGCATTGTAGCTATACCTCGAAATTGCCTAAACTTCTGAGACTTACTGTTGTGTTAGATCCAGCTGAGAGAAGTAACCATGCCTTTATCTATTTCCGTTTGTAAACAGGAGTAGAGGGGTAAAATTTTTCCCGTGTTGTTTCTTATATTCTGTATAGTTACGGTAAAAAGTTAAAAAGAATTGGTTAAGGTAGAGTTTATATTTCGAAAGGAAAGCCACACTTGAGCGATCTGTCAACGAGAGAAGGTTCCTCCCAGAAGGACTTTTATGGCAAACTAACACCTATTTAAGTGTTCGACACGTGAAGAAACCCGGAAAACTCCACGTGACCGGCTTATTTATAGACGCAAACTCGCCACCAACTACCAAGCTTCAATGGTTTTATCCATTCGGCCACCGGTGGGCTCCGTGTCGTATACTGTACGTATATCATCCGAAACCGTAACTTTACTATTCGTTTGTATAATATTAAACAATTAGTTAATCAATTTTAAAGGTTTTTAATCGTTTAAGGAGTTTGTAACTATCTCAATAATCCATTAATGCGAAAAATGCCAAAATTTCATCTAACGAAAAGCCCAAATAGTTATAAAAGCGATATACTACAACCACAAAACACAGACTTACCTCTTTTAGAAGTGTCGACGACGTTTTCTCGGAGATCTTCCATAGAAGAATGAATCATGGGAGAATAACTTCCCGAAACATAAAAATCTCCACTTAACGAATCATCGTCGTACTTGTTGAATTCTTCGGAATCCATGGGCACATCCAACATGACGACTTGATCGTTAGCGGTGAGATTTTCGTTCTTTTTATCATTGCAATATTCACTCACAATTCTCGGATAGGCATTCTTTTCGAATTTCAGAGCTTCTTTCACCTTGGACCATTTGGGAAGTATCCTCTTTGATTTGGAATCGCCGATGTCTTCGTGACCCACCGATTTGCTTCTTTCTCTAGTGCGACCCGCCTGCCTGCTGATGTTGACTTGGGTCTTGCTTTTGTGTACCACGTATCTTCTTTCCTTACTCCTGGAAGAGGGTCTCTCCAACACTTCTTGGCTCTCCATGCAGATGTAATCCAACTGAACCGTTTTCTTCTCGGGCGCATCCAATCTTTCCGACAGGATATTTTCCGAACCGTATTGAGCAGTGTTAACTTCTTTGTGCATCTCGTGAAGAGACTTTAAATCTTCCAGGTACTGAATTCGCCTGTGAAGCTTCGAGTTGGCTTCTCTCAGTTCGCTTAACTGTTCCATTAATTTGCATAAATTATCCAAATGGTCCAAGCCCACTTTGGTGCCGTTTCCCGATGCTTTAAGCGGGCTCTTTTTGATCTTTTTCGACCTGGAAGCTGCAACATTTTCGTATTCGGTAGGTAAAGACAATACGTATTCAATGAATTCTTTCTCCGAATGTAGTACGTCATCTAAACTAGACACGGGATTTCTGACGTTGTCTTCTTTGTTATCCAATAAGAGCTCGGTTGACATACTTCGTTGCACCGCGTCGTTTGTTTCGCTTGTCGATTTTTCACTCTGATTTTCGAATTTTGAAGGCCACAAGAGGCTATCGTCATTGGCATCGCAAGTTTCATCGATAAATACGTCATCTTTGTCGAAGTCAGTCGCAGCCATTTCCAAGCCCTCGTCCGATGGAAACTTATCAATGGCTTGATTTTCCATGATGAACACCTACTTTTATCCCTAGAAAAAGAAGAAAAAAACAATAATTCGCATGATTTGGCTAAGCTACGTATTTTTTTTTTTTTTAAATTTAAAATATTAAAATGGAAAATGTCAGAGGTGGGGAAACTGGCGATTTCCATGCTGCACATGGCTTAATTAGTATACAAAGTTTACAAGCCTTCCACGAGAGAGCCGTTCCTCGGAAATTTTTCATGGACTGTCTTTTCAGGTTATTTCCGGCCCCATCCCTCACTACCCGGCCACTCCAATTGTGAGTCTGGCCAAACCCTTGACCAGTATGAAAAAAGGCCTTCGTAGCGCCCATAGGACGAAAAGTTAGAAACTATTTATATAGGCGCATATAAATTAGCATAAATTTAATTTGCTTTTATTAGTTAAAAGAAACCAAGGGGAGGAACAACAAAAACAAATTAATCCAATTACAAGTTTATAAAACGTTATTTTTCCGTAGATAAATGCCATAGGATTTAGCCAATCAAAATACACTACATACGATACAGAGGAAATATAAAAATTGCACGTGCCGGTTGACGCTATAATAACGCTATGACGTTTGATGACGAATGGCGTTAGTATTTTTAATCCATTACGAGTTCGCGGGTAGTTCGCCATCTGTCGGTTGATAATTAAACTAATTCGCACGTAAATGCGTCTTTGGACGTCGGGCCATTCAAAAAAATCAATTTAAGACCCTATTGAGGATCCCGTTAAAAATTTATGTGCATTTTTTAAATAATAAAATTTGACGAAAAGTTAAAAATCTTTCCAATACACGACAAATCGAACGAATAGTATGTAATAAACGTTTTTTGTGACATCCGTAATTATGTAGTCCGGATCCAGTGAGCTCGCTGACCTTAAAAGGTCAGCGGGCCAACCACATAGAAATATGATAGGAAATGAAAGTTGTGTTTGTTCTCTTTCTTCCGAAAATTTCAGACCTTTTAAGCTTCAGACCCTACTAAACAATATTCTATCCTAATATTGTGCTAATATACGGCAGATTCTAGTCGTGGGATATTTTCAAGCCGTAGATAGAATATTAAGTGTAAGATGTTGTAATTAAGGAGGACCTAATTGGTCAATTCCGCTCGATATCCTGTATATCATATGTCTTATGCCACGCTTGATATCCTACAAACAGGATATTAAAAGACACGTGTTTACAGAAAGAATATGATTAAAAATAGTCTACATTTAGCGTTATTATATCCACTTATAGCACACACAGTACAGTGTAACGTATTAGAATGTACACGGCAAAAATTGAATGACGAATCTCCCAGGACAATGGGTATTTGGGGGATTTCATGTGTATCGTTTACAAATATCAGATGACGTTATTACCATTGAATTCGTATACCGACCAAGGTCTACTTTAATTTCTATAAATAGTTTTTAGTTCGAGAAACCAGAAACTAAAATTTATGATCCCATAATTCTCTTGTGTCATATTAAAGTATGACATTTCAAATTGTTTTTTTTATCTGCGCGTTATACATTTACTCTAATGCAATTTTTAAGCTAACTTCTTAATTTTCGTGTTATTTATTTAGATTCGATCCATAAAACAATTAATAACTAGTAGACCCTGTCGTGGGAAAGCCAGTACGGCCATTTGTCGGCCTCTCTCATTTATGTAAACATCTGTTACAATACAGTTTTGAAAGTTGTTTTCGCTATTTTTAATAATACAATGAGGCCTTAAAGAGGTAAGACTCTAGCAGTCCTCTCGAAAGGCCCCAACAAGTAACGTTTAAGAAGTTAAACGAACAAAATCATCGATTAATTTACTGTATTTATACGTAGTGTAATATTTAAAAGTAGTGACCTCGTCTTAGTTACTCGACGTCACTATCGTCACTCGTCAGAGTATAGAAAAAATAAACATTTATACAATTAATAATTTACGTATTAAGTGTCACTATCGACCTTGGCTTAATCTAAATTGTAAATATTAAATAAATACGTTTTACAATGGCATTTTTAAAATGAGATTTCAACTAGATTTATGTTCGTTTTTCCACAAGTTTTAAATATAGGGTGGCCCAAAAGCAAGTTAACCCGGTATTATCCACAGAATACAGAACGACGCGTTAGTGGAAACACTATAGGAAAAAATGCGGTTAAGTGTTTCAATAAGACATATTTAGTCTTTGCGACGGTTAACCGACTTTCGGGCCACCCTTTATATCTCTTCTAATTTTAATTTAATGATGCCAATTAAATTCAATTAAAACGTAGAGTTTAAATCACTTTAATTGAGTTTAATTGGCAATTTTAGAAAATGTGATTTGTCAATTAGGAGCATCGAAGTATAAATTAATTTTTCCATTCTTTTTTTCAGTTCAGAAGGGAGAACGAAGTTCTAAATGTATTCTTGTGTAATTTCTTTGAACTTACATTTTTCCTTGTTATTATAATTCTCCGAATAGATTGGCAAGATAAACAGAAAGTGATAAGAAGCGGTAGGCTAATATCGGCCATTTTGAACAGGGACACTTTAAAGTGTCCCTGTTCAAGATGGAAAAATTTCTGGCTATTTTCTTACAGTAAGAAGTATAATAATTTGTATAATTTTGTTTGATTACCCATACCACATCCCATTTCAGAGGTATCTCACACGACGTCATACGCTTTATGCAGGTTGCATAAAGTGCATAAAGTGTACATGAGCTCGCTTACAATACAGTAGAATAGAAAACGTACTGACTGATATCATTTTCTGTTTTGTTATGTAGCATTAGAGACTACAAAAGGATGCAAGTTCTCCAATTTTAGAGTATTAAGTATGAAGAGGGAGAGTCTTCATTAATTCATGAATTTTGCTGTGTTACGAGTAAAAGACCAGTGAGTATTAAAAAGACTTCACTAAAGAGTAGGGTTTTAAAGTTATTGCTGTATTTACTAACTTCAGAGGTTACTACTAAAATTACCGATAGATTGTTTGTAGTAAGTGGAACAGATCTTTGCTATGTAAACATTTTTTGTTTTCAAAATGGCCGCCAGTGAAAGGTGATCGTCTCGACTGTTTTCCGAGGTGTACAATAACATTTTCAGTTTTTAAAATACAAATCTTACCCTTTGTATTGATAACATAATAAATATAGCTACTAGGTGGCCCAAAAATCAGTTAGCTGCGAGAAATTGTTTGAAGGATTTTAAAAAAGTAATTTAATTTGTGTAATTTGAACAAGATGTCATCTTTGTAAAACGATGTATTTGAATAAGACAGTAATTAAGTCTTTGGTGGTTAATTGACATTCGGGCCAGCGTTTATATTTATAAATTCTCTTCAAAACATGTAGAAGAAAGCACCGAAAATCCTATATAAAATTCGTTATTATTATTCTATAAAATATAATTAATAAAAGCTCCGAACAACGGACACTGGCCAGAACACAAAAAAAAACGGCCGTTGTTAGCGGTTCAACTGTAATTTATAAATTACGTTAATAGCAACATTAATAAAAACATTATTCCTCCATAAGAAAATGCTAATTGGAGTAACGTTAAAAATTCGCGTAACATAACGACTTCTGCCGCTGTATATCGTGGTGCATAAAAGCACTGTTTTCTATGCATCGATCTCTGATTTGCTGATACGGATCGTTAGCCGCGAGGAGCTCATTCACTATCCGACATTAATGTAATTATAATGGTAATATTTTTACATAAAATACACTTAATAGCCTCTTTGCTAGTGTGACGCGTAGGGTAAGGCCACATTTTTATTTTGAATTTTCTTGATACCGATTGTTTGATTGGTGTTGGAGGAAAGTTAAGTTTCCTCCAGCACCAATCAAACAATCTTTAATTAATTTAACTCGTTGCCGCCTGATTCTTCCACGTTTTTCGTTCTAGTAATTGGAAAATTTAAGGAAATCAAATTGCCATAAAGCATTTTTTTTAATGTAAAATAAATCAAAATAATTCATCTGTAAATTATTTTCCTTATTATCCTACAGGAACATCATAAAAGTCAATGGACAAGTACAGTTACAGCTGAGAAATTGTTTATAAAAGATGTATACTCTTATGTCACCTCGTCCTAGGCTCAGTATAAAAAGTCAAAAAATTGATATTTTTTAAATTTTTTACTATTTTTTTCATCAAGAACGTCATGGAGAGTACTGGAGTATTCAATGTGCCACTAACTTTCTGTCCTCCCAGTTAATGGAACATTCTATCGAGTGTTTTAATTGGTTGGAATATTCAATACGTAAGACGTATAGACCATTGAGGAAGATTCGTTATAATAGCGGATGGAAACAATTGAAATAATAATTATCTTGATCAGCCGCCATTTTCTTTACGCAAATGGCATAATTTCTTTAAATTTTAAGAGAAACCAAAACATATATCATTTGAATTTGATGGTATCGGTATAAAATGCTATTTAGATTTAATTTTTGCAGTAAAATTCGAAATTTTTTCGAATATTTTGCTATTTTCGAGCCAATTCAATACGCAGGAAGTTCAGAAAAATATTCAGTAAAAAACTGATATCCGGCATTGGAAATTTAATAAATATTTCGATCTGCTGTAGATGCAAAGCGGACAATTCTAGTTTCAAAGACCCTTAGACAACTAATTATATATTTAAAAATTGACAAGAGCATCTTAACTCGTGAAGGGATCGAACCCGCAACTAGAAGATAAGGATCGTAAATTAACGAATAGACAAGCAGTTCTCAATCGATGGACAAGCAATTCTCAATCGGTGGTACACGTACCCCATAGGGGCAAGTGTACCACCGATTGAGAACTGGTATAAGTGATATAAGTCTTCGTAGAGAAGGTCCAAGTGGTACATCAGTAGAAAAGATCGAGACCCACAGATATAGGCAATTCGTAAGATAAACACGGATAAACACGTACTCGACTCAACAAACGGATACCAGATTAAGACTAGCCGAGGCCCTAAAATGCATAAGAGGCCCTTCACCTCCAGAAAATAATAATAGATTTAAAAGCACGGGGCCTTAAGTCGTGGCCTGGTAGAGCGAGGATCTAAATCACAGTTTATTTAAATCGCGCGTAAATCCGGCCCCTCGAGAAACCCAAAAATTTTTTCTATATTCCGGTTACATTCTTAGAATTACAGAATTAGCTTTAGAATTTACGTTTAACCGAATTTACGGCTCGTGACTTCCGCTAAATTTGCATATTTAAAAAAAATTGCGAAACGAGACAAGAAGTGGAGAATCCTACCTGAAGAAGTCGTGGCTCAAAGAGAATTTCGAATATTATTCAAATAAGAAAACACGTGTAATCACATGCCACACGGCATTTACGACTAGATGTGCCAAGTGGGGCGTCTTCCTATTTCAGAACTATGAGAATCTCTCATGCTCTTTGCCTTCTCGCTAGATGCTGACGTCGTTCATTGGGTCAATGTTGTGCCAAGTTCTACTTTTCGCTTGCCCCAAATTTAAAAATTATCCACATAAATTTAACTTTTTAATATTATTTTAGGGTTCCTCGACCAAAAAACATTATCGAAATTACCGTTAAAATCGAGTACAGTTTAAGATCCATCAACAATCGGCACCAGCGAGCGCGCAATCTACGGATTCACACTACAAAGGGAGCGATTTATTGTTTTTTTTACAAATAAAAAAATAACACTAGAAAAAAATCCAAATTAACAACTAAAAATACGATTTCCTTCCGACCAGGGGAGGGAGGGAGCTTTCGACAAGCAGAAATTTTATATATCAACAACTTTTGTGTGTGTCTTGTTCGCCTATTTTCTTTGCCAAAATTGTTATTTTTGGCCAGAAGAAAAGAATGAATGACGTCACACGGTTACCATGGAGACGATCCGAGAAGTATTTGTCGAATGACATTCCTCCGGGGGGTAGTAAAACGGTATTTCAGGTAGCGAATTTGTAATTAAATTCAACTCCGCTTACACGTACAACGCTTAATTTAATTATACGTTTTAAAGTCGATATTTAATTTATATACACTTTGTTTACATGGACGTCGCCAGACTTTCGTTGCCTTCTTTAAGTGCGAGCAACAAGAGCCTGGTGACGTCAACACGGTTAACCTTATCGTATGACATCAGCCATTGGAAATAAAAAAATTGTTATGAATCTACTCGGCCATTCAGGTCGAGCGAATTATATCCCAGAGAAGAGGAGGAAAAAAGGAAAATAAAACAGATGCAAAATATAAACTTTCTATATTAAGCCATACTCTTTAAACAAAGTTTATTTTGATAATTAACGGGTAATTTAATTTCCCGAAGGGAAAAACACATTGAAAATAAGTAAATATTTTCCTAGAAAATTTAAATTGTTTCGCCATTTTTTTGATCTGTCGTTTAAAAATTTGTAATCCTTAATTTAATGGGAGGGAATGATAAAGATAATAATAATAATATCGAGAAGAAAAACACGGATAAACGAGTATACAACTTAGCAAACGTTGTAAAAACCGAACTGTTGAGGCTCCGAGGTCCTTCCCATCCAACCAAAGTCCCACTATCTAACTTAAAACAAGAAATATAACCAAGATTTAGGTTGGTAGAAGCCCTAAACTATGAGATATAAAAGACCCTTCGCATCCTTCATCTTGTCAAATACTTGAAACAAGAATTACAACGAAGATTTAGGCTGGTAGAGGCCCTACGTCGCACGGGAGGCCCTCGAAATCCATCAAATAGTAATAAATTTAAGTGTCGGGCCGTAGTCGTAGCCCGGTAGCGAGAGGACCCTTTATAGTTTATAAATTAACGGAAAGAAAAGAATAAACGATAAAATTTATATATAAATTAAAACTAGAATTGTTTTTTCTTGAAATTTTTGTAAACAATGATATAAAAAACACTTCTTTAACTAAAACATCTGACGTAAATGAATTAGTGTCAAACGATACGCCGACCGTCTAAAGTGACTAAAGCTAAATGGAGTTATTAAAAGTTATATAATGCATATTTATATAAAATTGTTAGTAATTATTTATTTTACATCGAACACACGAATAACGCCCAACGACTGAACTTTTACTTCCTGTTTAAATTTGAAATACAGTATTTAAATACAGAAGGCGCATACACAGTTTTACACACAATAAACTATAAAAGAACTTTTGTTATTCGAATTTAGAAAAATGAAAGTTTCTGTCAGATTTATTAATTGATTATTTTAATTGCATTTATAAATAATGAAATTTTCGACGAAATTAGAGACTAGTAATTCGATACTCTAAGCTATAAAACAAATTAAAATATTATGAAACAAACATTTATAAGGGGAGAAAATTCGTTGTTTGTATTATAGTTCGTTGCCACTTAAATTTTAATTGGTTTCGAATTTGAGTAGATAATTTATACTAAAATATTCTACACTTCTTCTATTCTCTTTTCTACTCTTCTACGCTCCTCTACACTTCTACTCTTCACTGTTTCTATGCTTATCTTCACTTCTTCTATGCACTTTTACACTTATTCTACGATCTTCTAACTTCGTTTATGCCGTTCTATACCAAAAAATAGGATTAAAATATAGGATGACCTAAAACGCCATTAACTGCTGTAAAGACTGAACTACTATCTTATTTAAATGCTTGTCTACTTAAATACTTCCCGAAAACGAAAGCATTCTTGTTCAATCCACAAATTTCAACGCTTCAACAAATTAAACTCGAAAACAAACCCGGTTAACTAGTTTTTGGGCCACCCTATAGAGTCCTCTATCTTAAAATAAATTGTAATAATTTATCTCCCAAAAATATTTAAATAAAATAAACTTTTACGACACAAAGTAAACGTGCAAATGAAACAGTAACAATTCTACAATTTATACACAATTATATGAATTATAATAATTAGAAACGATTAAATGTACGGTACATTCAGATTGTGTACAAACTTAGACACACAAAAACTATCAAAAATATAACAATAAATGCACGAGGTAGAGAGCTAACTTTCAGTAAAGTCACACAAAAAGAGCATACTTATGTTTATTTACGCTATTTTTATGCATAAATTTCAATTATTTTATGCAGAAAATAGACTGAAAATTAAAATAATAAACGAGAAAATCACTCCCTATTTAAAAAATTATAAACGTTAAGAACGTCACACTTCTACCACTTGGATATATACAGGGTGGCCTAAAAGTCAGTTAACCTCAGACAACCTCGCTGTCTTATTTGAGTATTTAAAATCATATTTTTTTTTCTCATATTTCACACATTATTCTAAACTATTCGTAGTTAAAAGAACACGCGCAATAAAACATGGTTAACTGATTTTTAGGCCACCCTGTATGTTTTTAAGGCGTTAAATATTAAATATTATCGCTCGTAACGTATCATTAATGTAAACTAATAGAAGAAATGCATAATAAACAGCATCTCGGCACCATTTCTTAAGCTTTTTTTCCTCCTCCTCCTCCGATTGAAAATGATGAACTGGAAAAATAAACACAGAACTGCGGGAACCGCGATTCAGTCCTACAAACGGCATTCGGAGTGTTTACTTTAAATTAAAAAATAAATTCGGTGAATGATAGCTGTATGTCTGTCTGATCGTAACTATAATCGGATCTACGGATACAATGTGGGGAAGTAAACAATCGTCGATTAATAAAAGCTAAGTTATTGTTATCGATTATGCATTAATGATAATTAATTTCTTAATAAATGACAATAAAACCCTTCAAGTTAGATCTGCTAAATTGGACTCTGTAGAACAGGAATCTTCCCCTTCCCTTCTATCTTGAACACCCTCTAAGCTAGGCTTTCGAGTGGAACTGGCAAGCATCTATGGACTTTTCCTCTTCTCCTCCTCCTTGGGACACCCCCACTAAATTGGAAACATTTTAGTATCCAACTTAGAGGTGTTTTAGCTTACTTCTTAACTTCAAACCGAATATGGATGCGACGAATATTCTCCTAATTAACCTTTGAAATTTTCAACATTCGTTCCGCAACACCCGATAAGTCACAACACAGACTTTTATGAACGATGACCGGAAGACCGAGTGACGTTTGTAGGACGCAATGTTTTCAAATTCGTTAGCTACCTTCACGGATAAACGATTTAACGAAATTCCACCAACGTCGGAGGATTTTCTAACCAAATAATAATAATTAATTTAAGTCATTTATTCGTCATTCGATCGGAAGTCTGCGGGCGCGAGTTATGTAATGTAAACAATAGCAAAATTAAGAAGAAGCGAGAGAAAATAACCCTTTAAATATAACTTTTTAAATAGAAATTTAAAAGAAAATAGGAAAATCGCGATTTTAAGAAGGGAATTTTCCGCCATTCTCGATTTACAAAACACGTTAAATCGAGGGAATGTAGCGGGGAAAACGAGTAAAATTTCACTAAAAAAAAAGGGGTATTGTATCCGATAAACGGGTTGTAAACACTCACCCTTTGAAGACGGGTACTCAACAGTTGCGTATAACGAAGATCGTTCCCGCTCCAAGATCGAATCGAACGGAAGATCGGGAAAATATCCATAATCGATCAACAATACATCCAATACATTCCGAGTTGGAGAATGTAAAGTAACGAAGAAGGCGTCTTACACATCGGTAACTACGTCGGAGGACAAGGAACCCACAAACACGAGCTCGGAGGAATATTTTTGGCACGACTATTTTTGAGTGTCTGGGATGTGCGCATAGCTCCCGCCTCATCTCGCACAATTTCTCTTTACATCCCGCTTTACTTTACTATCTTATCCACAAACTGTGAAACTAATACAGATTCTAGAGATTCTAGACAAATACGAAACTAAATCCTCCGTTTTTTAATACGCGCTTTAAAATTTTAAATCATAATTTTGTAATTATTTTTTTTAATTAAAAATTCTACAGAAATTACTGTGTAATTTTTATATCACGTAATAAATTTTCTGGAATTTTATGCATTCATTTTTATATTTAAAATGATTAAATTTTTTATTAGTTTTGTCGTTTATAATTCCGTTATTTTTTTAAATTAAATATTATAAAATTTCTCATTGGATATTATTTTATTTAGAATTTTTTTCTTTCGATTTATTTAAAAAATTTTATTTCCTAGAAAATAATAATTTATTAGTGGCGACATCTAACGGAACAATTACAAAACTCGGAAAACTTATTTCTAGAAAGATCGAGATTGTGACGTAATATTTCGTAGCCAATCAGTTTTCTGTTTGGAATCGCGAGACTTCGATAATTGGACGATTGAATTTTTAAAAAAAGAATACGGAGAAACGTATAATTCGAGAGAAACCATTTAAAATTTCATAAGTAATTGCCGTTACTTTACATTTCTTTGTCGGAGAACGTTAACTTTGAGTTACATAACTTCGAATATGGCTTCTAATACTGAAGACGAGAATAAAGATAGAGACAAGGGCACGTTTGCTAGTTTAAATGCAAATAATAGAGTGAATGGGAGTGAGGATGAGGAAGAAATCGAAATGGAACGTTTAGACAGTAAGGAAAAGAAAACAGTTATCAACGAATTGCCTAATTTGGGAAACGTCGAAGAGCTATTTTTCAAATGTGTAGAAACTGGCAATTTAAATGAACTGAAGAAATTCCTTTCGGTTGGTTATATTTCTTTATCTTTAATAGAATATTTAAGGATATAATGCAATGAACCCCCGTATAAAGCCAGGTAAACACGTACCTGTATACCTGTCAGATACTGCTGAACAGCTGTCCAGTTTATCTGAATGTATAATTTAAAAAAACAAAATTCACGGCATCTGAATGTGTGACAAAATCCACACATTCAGATGCCATGTACACTGTCGTTACGTCACACTCATAGTTCATACGTAACGCGTTGTACGGGGGTTCACTGTATTTACTTTTATGATATGTTATATATATATCATAAAATTAATATATATATATATTTTTTATTTCATTAGGAAAAACCCGAATTGAATATCAATTGCTTGAATTTTCAAGGTTATTCTGCTCTGCACATTGCAATTAATAACGAATTATTGGATATTGTAGAATTTTTGATTTCTATACCGGAAATAAACTTGTCCGATTGCGTTTTACACGCAATTTCTATAGGAAATATCGAGATAACCACCGCCATTTTAGATGCTCTCAAGTAAGAGCATTTTCCGATTCTTAGTTATGACCATTAGATTATTTCATTAATTAACATTACGATAATTTCAGGAATAAAGACCCGGATCTGGAATTTGTTGCATATCCCGATAGCATAGAATTTAGCTTAGGGGTGACGCCACTCGTTCTCGCCGCACAAAAGGGAAATATAGAAATGATTCGTTTGTTAATCAAGCGAAATCACCAAGCTAGCATTCCACACATCCCGACATGTAAGTACTGGATATCGGACTGGTAAATTAATTTATAATCTCACTCTATATTTTACGTTAAATTAATAAAATTTAAATTATGGCTGCTGAAAAAAGGAAACAGCAGAGGGAGTAATTTAATTTGTATGCCACTCTGGAGGATCCAGGTATTAGAATACGTGCTCTATCTAATTTTTCTTGAGTTGCGCCAAATATTTTGGGCTTTTCCCTCGTCATCCGGTCAGATTCGTGTAGACCCGGTCCAGTAGCGTAACTAGAACCCATTATTAACGGGCCCTAATTAGAACGAGGAAGCCTTACTTATCTCTGTACCACTATAGATGTACACACTAACGTTGTAGATGAAGAGTGAACTCGTACATTGTAACCATGTGTATAAGGGTATTTGCCACATTCAGATCTTTTTTCTGCACTTATTTAATTTTTTCTTTATTTACAAAAACGAGCCTGTCGATCAGAAGGCCACGACAGCTTAGATTCGTCTCGTCGCTGTGGGAGCCAAGGTTCGAATCCGAGTGCCTGAATTTTCCACGAGTACCGGCGATCTCCGGGACTTCAACTGAGGATGAGGAGCCATCCTGTGAGGATTTTGCGTCATGTGGAGGCGGTTGGATCCGGTCGAGGAAGCTGCAAGTGCTTTGGGTGGGCAGGTTGACTGCCTTCAACTTCCGGTCGATTCCGGTAGAATTGACATTTTAGGCTTCATTCTCCCACAAAATACAAAAAGGGGCTCCTTAAGCTTTCCTTCGTTACTCTACTGGTCTGGCCAAACCCACGATAAGATTATGGAAAAACTTTCTGGATGTTCGTAGAACGGACAGAGTTAATAAACATTTGAAACCGTTTCAGGTTTGTGTAGAGAATGTAAAGAAGTAATTCGAGAAACAGGAATACTGGATTTGACAACAAAGAGACTAGATATTTTTAAGGGAATTTGTAATCCTTATTATATTTGCCTTTCTTCAAGTGATCCAATATTGACGGCCTTCGATCTGGATCTACAACTAAAGTTTTGTGCTGAAATGGAGAAAGAATACCACGTAAGTTTTGGAAATAAACAAATTAAACTTTGAGTTAATTTTTCAAAAAAATCTTTATAATCTTTATACTTTAAAGATGGAATATAATGCACTGTCGGAAAACTTACGCATGTTCGCTGTCGATTTATTATCTCAATGTTCAGATATTCAGGAAGTTGAAAAAATATTAAAATTAAAAAGAGGTTCTTCTTGGAAAAGATCAAAATATCCAAGACTACAAGTAGCTTTGGATTACAGACAGAAAGAAGTACGAACATTTTATTATTTTTTGTTTCTAATTCTAATATATGTTATTAGACGGACAGTGGTGCAGTGAAGACGTATACAACCAACCCAATAATTTAAATATTTAAACGAATAGCCGGATCCGGCCATTTTAAGGCCTTAAAATAGCCCGATAAGGCATCCGATTGTTCGTTCGAATATTTAAATTAAGGTGCCGGCCTGCAGCTCTAACAAGAGAATCGGAAAAGAATCCGGTCGGGTCGAAAATCCCCAGAATTTTTGGTGATTTCTCTCTCGGGTATATCGGGCTCATCCCTCAGCATCCGGCCATCTCTTTGCGGGGCTACTCGATTGGTTTTGGTTTTATTCCTAAAGGGCAACGCGAAACATAAGCGATCTAAGGAGGATGCTTTCTGGGAGGTGTTCTATGGGAAACTGACCCCTATTTAGTACCTCTTAGTGTCCACAGGATGGAAGCAGTAAAAAAACTAGTGTTGTTCTTGTTTTTACTAACGATATCAACCTTATATTTTCTAGTTTGTTGCTCACCCAAGCGTCCAAAAAATAGTTACCGCGGAATGGAACGGTGTATGGACGGCATTTTCGAAGTACCGTGTTTGGAAGAAAGGCTTAATCATTCTATTCCGTATGTTTATTCTTCCTGTAGTTTTCTTCACTGTTTTTTTATTTCCTAAATCTCATTTGGGAAAAAGATGGAAATGCCCTCAAAGTAGATTCCTCAACGAGTTGGCATCTTATCTTATATTTTTGATTTTTCTGTTCCTGCTTATCCAAATCCATACAGAGCAATCGTTTCGTGGGCCTCCCAACACTGGTATATTTGAATGAATTATTTTAAATTAACACTTAATATTATAGGGTAACGATGATTTGTTTATTACTATTAGGTCTAGAAGCAGTGGTTGTTGTATGGGTATTAGGATATTTATTTTCCTCATTAAGATCTTTGTGCCTTCAAGGTTGGAAAAGATTTCAGCAATACTGGTGGAACATGTGAGTGAGTATTTTATTTATTTAAATTTATTCTTAACTAATCGTATTATTTAATTTCACAGATATTCTTTGGTCATGGAACTACTTTTTATATTGACGTTTATATTTTGGATTCTCTCGTGGGCGGATGTTTTAGAATATGGTTTTGCCGATCTCCCTAGAAATTTTTGGCCTGGTTACGATTATACTTTAATTCACGAAGGTCTCCTGTGCATCACTGGAATTATGGCGGTTGGTCGATTATTTTATTTCTTTCTCGTGAGTTCTCGATTGGGACCACTGCAGGTGAGTACGGTTAAAATTAGTGATTAAAAATATTATAAAAGTTATATAATATTAATTACTTCGACAGATTTCTCTGCTAGTAATGATAAAGAATGTGGCTCTGTTTTTGATAGCATGCTCCATTTTATTATGCTTACTGGCAGTCTGCATGGCTAACTTATACGCACCTTACCGAAAAATGAGGCAAACCGATGACCAAGGAGAAATTACGGTCCAGTCCACAGCTTTTACGTCGTAAGTTCTCTTGTTTGTTTGTATAACGTAACGCAACGTGCGGGCGATCAGCCGATAGGGATGACTTTAGGAAGGACTTTCTACGGGAAACCGGCTCCTTTGATCTAACAAACGGCCATGTGGCCAGCCTGTTGATGAAGATGAACCCACGACCAACTACCAGTTTTCGATAGTTTTATCCATTCGGCCACTGGTGCGCTATTGTTATAAGGCTTCTTCCAGGCTGATATAACTATCCAAGGTTTTGCGAGTTTTTACGCAATGGAGGCAGACAAACCAATAGAAGGTTGTCGTGTCTATGTCCCCCACAGTGTGAACAAGTTGGAGAGGGCGTGTTTCCGTGTATAGAAACAAATTGAATGGAGCGGTCTTCGTGTAAACAATCATTATTTTTTCTAAATTATTTTCTATACTTGTCTTTACTAGTACCATCCAGTCAGGTGTATCTAGATTTTGCTCTATCTTCCACAGCATCGTTTTTGGTATTCTCCCTCTTATTCCTTCGAATATCTAAATACTTTTGATTAATTAAATGACCACAAGTATACTAATAATTTCTTTTATCTTCCTATAGAATTGCTAATTCCATATACACTTTATTCTGGACAATATTTGGATTGGTTGATCTCGATTCAACAAATATAATTGTTTCAAATATAGATTTACAAACAACAGATGTAGTTCATCACACTTTAACTGAAGCCACTGGACAAATTTTATTTGCAGTTTATCACATTTTTATGAACATCGTCTTTATTAACATTTTGGTGGCAGTTCTTATAAACAATTTCCAAGCAGTGATGGTAAGTGAACGTTTTGTTGACTGGAAACTTCTCCGTACTTTAATTACAGAATATTCTTTCAGGATGATGCCGATAAAGAATGGAAATTTAGTAAAACTATGCAATGTGTGCTGTACTTTCGAGATGCCGAATTATTTCCATCACCGTTCAATCTCATTCCAAACTGCTTTTATATAGCTAACTTCATCAGATCTGTCAGAAAGGCCATGAAAATCAAAGATCCTGCGCTCAAAAAGCCAGTACATACATTACTGTCTTGCTTTGTAAGCTAAGCTTAAATATCATTCTTCGAATTTTTAAATGAATTATTAGTTAATTTTATATTTAATTCAATAGCCATGCTGCTATGTGGAAGATGATGAAGAAAAGCATGATGATCCTGTTGAATACCAGGTTTGTAAGCATTATTAACTTATAATCAAACGGTAGATTTTTATCCCGATTTTATAGTTAATTTGAAAATCTCTATAAACATTTTTTGTTCAATTTCCAGGAATTAATGACTAAAATGATCCAAAGATACTTAAAAAGCCAATCTCTCGATGTCAGCCTTAGCAAAATAAAACTTTCAAAATCAACTTTGAATATATAACTTGTAAAATTTTGTTTTCAAATAAAAATTCCCGAATACAGTTTAATTCTGGGTTGTAACATTAAGGGCACGAAGACCAATTTTGCCCATTGATACCGATAATCTAAAGTGTCAGTCAGAAAGTTCTTCTATTTTTCATTCCACTCCCTTCTTTATATTTTTGTTTTTCGGAATTAAGAGAAATACAACGTGGAAATTAAAAATGAGTGCAACTTGCTTTTGTTATTAGTTAAATCGCAACCAATAACAGTGTTCTGTAAATAACGTCAGCAAGCTGAGTCATCTCGTTGACATCGAACTTAACATTTATGATAAGACTAGAAAAAAATTCTATGTTGAAGAGCGGTGTCCTAACTAGATTTTCAACTGGTATTTCGGAACAACTGATTGCTATTTTAAAAATAAAAATAACAGCCAGTACAAAGTACTGTACCTCAAATATGTGCGATCAGTTAGAACAGTGAATCATAGAAAAAAACTACACGTTAGGCTTCTAACTTGCAATTGGAGGTCCCGTTCATTCTGAGTGGGAAACAATAGTTTTAATGGGCGATCCATCCCAAATATTCGGATTTCATCACCCGGCTACTCCATTGTTTAGACCAGTGTTTCTCAACCTCTAAGGAATCGTCGCCCCCTTTAATAAAACCGTTACCTGTTATCGCCCCCTTCACTTCAAAATTCCGATGCCGAGGACCAAGACTAACGCCAAATTCGTACTGAATTGAATAGACTAGTGACTAGTATAATGTTATTTGTTTAATTATTGTACGGTATTACGAATAAAATATCTAATTATTTTTAATGTTTTTCTATATCGCCCCCAAAATATAAATTGTTACTAATCGCCCCAACATGGAAAAACGCCCACATGGGGGCGATATCGCCCCCGTTGAGAAACACTGGTTTAGACAGTCCAAACCCATGATGAACATATTTACAAGTCCTCTTAGTGCCCAGAGGCAAGAAGGGTGACTAAAAAAGAAAAATAGTAAACTATGGAGCTTCTATAAATAAATTCTATTTTTTACGATTTTTATTACTCTCTCATAACGAACCATAATGCTATAACAAAATCCTCTTGTTGCTAGAATTTGCGGTATGAAGACTTGACCAGAAACAAGTTTTTTTTTATTAATACTACACCTTACAAACTAATTTTCTATACAAATACCACAAAAACAGAAATTTCTATTTTCTATATAAGATCTCAAAATTTCTAAAAATTACTGTATATACACATACGGGTTTATTCAACACCGAAGATAAGTTGTAACATTCACCTGTCGAATAAAGATTTTAATTGGTCCAGCTTTAAAACTTGAGCATGCGAGCCACTAATTTTAGTTGGCTAATTTAATTACGCAGAGAAGAAACTTCATACAATTACCTTGATGCCACTGCTTATCAATAGGCAAGATCATTGATTTGATCTTTGTTACTACTCGGGAAACAGAGTTATTTACTTCTCTACTAAACTATTTGTAACCTGATATTATATAGTTATGCAATGTTACATAAAGACTACCCCAACCTAGTGCTCCGTAACGCTATTGGCACTCTTGGAAGTTAATTTATAGGGTGTTATTTTACATCCGTTTAAACATACCTGCAAAACTCGTTCCTATATTCCGTCAGACGACAAAAACGGCAACTTTTAGTTGTACTTTATGATGGAAAGCAACATGGCATCCTCCATGGGTCAGTCGTTTCAGGATCCATTATGCCATTTTATGAATGAAAATTTAGAAATTGTGAAAGTGGAAGTTAGTGCATGCAGTGAGGCCTTTGATATTTCTCGAATAGTACCGGGAATTTAATTTTTCATGGCTACTTTGAATGCTGTCAACAATACAATCCATTTGATGACTAATTTGAACCCTTCTTTTGTCTCCAAACAAAATTTTTGAAAACATCTCATCACGATACTATCGATAGTACGGGCGCCACCATCTTTCTTTTACCGTCGTTTCGGAATGCCTACAAACAGCAGAGCACACCCGTGATGGCGGAGACCCACCAATAGAATCATCCTTATATTCATCCTTAGTTTGGCTATAAGCCAAACTAACCAAGAGTTACCAGAATCGGCCACGGCGGCAAAATTAAAACTTGAAAATAAGTACTGATGATTTTTTTCGATATTCCCTTTTGGACAACCCTTTGGTCCTAGGTCCGTGCACTAACAGTTACAGCATACTCTCGTGTATTACAGGCACCGTTGTCATCTTTCAACTATTTCAAACTAGTTTACATTGAATCCACTAAAACTGGGATGTCGTCGAGCCAAACACGAAATTAATTATTCATCTTAGGCTGTTCAACAAAAGGCACAGTATTTTATAACAATACTATATAAGTATAAAAATCAGTATCCCGAAATTTCCCACCAAAAATACTGTACTGTAAGTACTGTACATCCCACTAAATTAACGATGGCATGCACTTGGATGACGAAACGGTAGACTATTGAAAATTATTTTAAAAAGATTAACAATCTGGAAATTCTAAAATACGGTGACAAATGATTTTGCTTTCATAGTTTATTAATTTAATCAAAAAGTTATGCGTCTATTAGATTCAAACATGAGTCCCCTTCTGAGTTCACAGACTCTTCCCAGTGATGATTCAACTGTTGAAAGCATTTTTCAGTCCTTTATTGGAATCTCCATCAGGCTTTTGTTGCATTAGGTCTGTCCCAAAAGCTCTCTGAGTGGCATTTTGTGTTTGGGTTGGAATCGTGTAAGGAGTAAAAAAAGAAGGCTGCTGAACTTGTGCAATATTGTCTTTCAAGGAGTGTCCGGAAGAGGTGCAATCTGTGGACTCGAGTGTTGTCGTGATGAATAAACTGGTTGTCATACTGCAAGAGCTGTGGTCTCTTGTAGAGTATTTAGGTGACATAAAACAGTCAGACCTTTCTCAGAGTTTGTCCACAAAAAGCATACTCATGGTGAACTATGCCCTGGTGGTTGAAAAAGAAAAAAAAGGTCAATGTGACCTTCACATTGCCATGACTATCTTGCCTTCTTTAGTCGTGGAGACTGTGGCTGTTCCAATTGGGAAGATTGTGCCTGTCTTAGGATCATACCTGTAGACCTAGGTCTCACCTCTAGATCTTCATGAAATCAGGTTGTCATGTTCCACTATTTTCACTTAATCAACAGTGACCAAAGAGTAGGATAGGCTAAGAAAAATTCACAAATTCAGTAGGATACAAGTTCACATGATGGTAACCCCAGCTTACAAAAAAGAAAACAAAAGGTCTTTTTGATCCTTTGAACACCTTTTTTGATCAGACCTTGTAACTTAAACTAAATTGCGCGAATGGCAAATTTTACTTTGCTTGAATTATCAAAAAACTTAATCTAGTTGTCAGGGAAGTTGTAACAATTGAATGCAATCTTTTATGCATTAATTTATTAAACTGGTGTATAGAAAAGGAGTTTAACCACAAATAAATTCCCAATTTTCTTTTTTTGTTACGATTATGCAAAATACAAAGTGGATTATCCTGATAATCAATTGGAATTTAACATTAGGTGTCATTTGTCAATTCCCTTATTTTGTAAACTAATTATACAGAAGCATCAAGTTATATTTTACTGGACGTATTTTAAGTCTGTTTAGTAATTATAAACAGTAAATGGTTGTTTTATCTGCTCGCTAATTTACCGAAATGAGCCATCAATTTTTAAACTGCATGAGATAGCCATTTTAAGGACAATAAAAAAGTTATAAACAATATTTCTCGATTCAAAATAATTGTGTAAAAAATATTAATGATTATTTATTTATTTAATAAAATTTTAAAAAAGTAAAATTTAAAAATGTAAGACTTTTGCCACAAACATTTAAATTTTGCCAAGAGAAAGTGCCTTAAAAGCAATTTTTTTATTTAATCTTGTCTTAAGTTTTAAGATACGAATATAAAAAATTTTTTTTATTTATTTACATTGCAAAGTCTACTAGCAAAACATCTAAATTTAATGAATGGAATAAAAGTGTTATAAAATAGTTTTTTCTGTACAGAAACGAACCTGTCACAATTATACTTTCAGAAGCAAAAAAAACACAATAAAGTTAATCAAGTAGTTTTTCTCTGTGTATGTGTGCAGGCAGTGATCGGTTTAGAAATTTCTATTTCAAATACAGAGATGTTATGAACAAATGTCTTTAATACTGCTAAATGAATATGTAATAGATATATAATGGTTATGTTTTGTAAAATAAAACAAGGAATGACTTAAAAAATCATTTATGGTGTTTTCTGTGAGCCTTTCTTTCCAATAAGAGATTTGTGAATGTGAGGGATAACACCTGGAAAAAAGTAAACACATAATAAGTGGCAGACCAAAATTCTTTGGATGTTAAAAAAAAAAAAAGACGACTTACCTCCACCGGCAATGGTGGCTTTAATGAGCGAATCCAATTCTTCGTCTCCTCGAATTGCGAGCTGTAAATGTCGTGGTGTTATACGTTTGACTTTTAAATCTTTACTGGCATTTCCTGCTAATTCCAAAACCTGAAATTTAAAATGGTTATTTTAAGTTTTGTTAATCACACAGTACATGGTATGTTATCGAAGACAAAAAAAAGGTAAAATTTCAATATGTTATAAATCTATTAACATTTTATAAAAATAAAAATGTATCATGTAAATAGTTCCTCTTATATTTAAGTTTTCGGAAATTATTTGTCAATCTTTATAAACTCAAAAAAAATCATCAAAACTTACAACTGTTTCATGTCTAGTTACAGTACTTCATGAGAGAGGTGTAGGATTTCAAGATAGTAATAAGTGAGATGTAATTTTAAGTTTTAATATTTTATTGTTATATATAAAAAATGGTTTAATGATTTTAAAATGTATATAGCAGAGGTGGCCAACCTGCGGCTCACGAGCCACATGCAGCTCTTTGAAGGATTATTTGTGGCTCTAGATAAATGTACCCGAGTTCTCTTTTCATTTTTGTGTTATTATATTTTTAAAAATTATTATCGTTCAGTATGTGTTTCAAAATGTCTTTTAAATTACTAACAAATATAAAAGACTAAGTGCAACGTTGTAACAAATTTCATTTCCGTCCAAGTTAAGAATGATATGACTCATCGAAAACTGCGCGAACGAACATAAACAGTGGCGTAATCGTTATCGACCGACTCCAGACTGATTTTGAATTTGTAAACTGTCTTTGCAATGGACAGTTGACATTGTGCTCTGGAGGAAACAATTTGTATCACTCTTGCTACGAATATAATTTGTAATCTGGAATTTTTTGCATACCTTTTTAATACGTATTTAATTGCGGCTTGTGAAAAATTTCAAATTTTGAAAAATGGCTTTGACTATCAAGGAGCTAGGCAACCCTAAATATATAGTCATCTCTGTAAATAGGGCTGAAGAGAAAAAAGTCAAATGCTTTCCCAGTATCAATGAATAATATGACTTCCTGAATATGCTGTAATTCTTCTTTGACTGGTTTAATAAGTGTATTCAGACAAATGATAATAGCTCACAATAGAACTTATCATCAAAACTGCTACTTCTTGAATATTTCAGTTCTGTTGCCTACTACTGGTAAAATATTTGATTAGTTTCATTACTAAAACAATGAAAAATACTTTTATATATAATTTAATTAATGAAGTTTCTAAGCATTTATCCTCTTGGGATGCTGTGTGTTGTATATGATGTGCAATTTTCCTTCCAAAGAATGAGAAGCAGCTCTGCTTTTTTGCTTGCTAAACAATTATATTAGTTATACATTTTGTCACTAGAGTTTGGTGAAGCTTATTAGACCACATGCATCCCACTGTGACAGAGACAAAGAAAAATATAAGTGATTGTCTGAGCATTGGAAGTGATCGTATCAATGACTGCTTGATGTCACAGTATTCAGTTTTTTCTATTTCTATTGATTATAAGTTTACAATTTAAACAAGTTTTTGTTCAGGAGACTTCTAAGATTACATAAGAGTGTTTTTAAAAACTGTATAATTAACAGTATTTTATGAGATGAGCTAACTTTTCAACGTGTTGTATATGACACATTGCATCTCTGTGTTACAATAATTACATTACAGTGTATGAACTGTTTTCGTATTTGCAAGTTATTTACTTTTATAGATATTTGGTCATTAGGATGGCAATATGTATTCTATTATTTATTTTCATTTTTTATTAAATTAATTTATTAATAAAAATAATGATTTATTTTTATTCATCACAAATTTGTGATTTGTTTTTGTCTACTTATTTATTTGGTCTGCAAGATTTTGTTTATTAAGAACTTATAAATATCATAAATCACACATTTATAATAAATGTTAATGATTTAGTTTTAATTTCTCATTGTCAACAGTCGAAATAAGAAAGGAACATGATAGGACAAACAATACTGACAGAAATTTGTCTGACCTGGAAGGCTGGTTCAGTGATAAAGACAGTGACCAAACATTTGTTTTTTGAGCAGACTGTCCTGGAGAATGTAAGTCATTACTCTGCTCAAAGAACAAATTAAAAAAGTGTCAAAATCGCTATCACATTCAGACAGTGCAGGCAATAAGAAAAAAGGGAACAATGAAAATGACAAAGAAAAAGAAAATCATACAAAAAATACTCCAACTTTGCATCCCACTGAAATACAATGCAAAAGTGAAGCAAAACACATGCCAGTTATCATTGCAAATTGCAAAAATCACCATGGACGAATGGGAGAATGTAAAAATGTAAGAGCTACAGTGTACTGTATCAAATGCAAAATACATCTGTACCTTGGTAAAATAAAAATTGTTTCAAAGCTTATCATATGTAAATATAAAATGTTAAATAATGTACAAAAACAGTCAAATAAACTATTTTTACATGAACAGAAAAGTTTGCATTTTGTACAGGTAAAGATCTATTGTGTCATATATGACATGACACACACCATTTTTTAATGACCAAAACAAAAAATATTTAGAAAAATAACAATTTACTAATAAGTGATACCTAAAGGTCAAAAGCATAAAACTTCAATAAAAAAAAGTTTTTTTTCAGTAGTGGATCTCAAGAGGTTAACTGGTTTATTTCTCTAAATATCTTGTAAGATGAAAATTTTCAAGTTTAGTGTCAGTCTTGTAAATATGTTTATGCATATTCAGCATCAATCTAAAAAACCTAAATTACAGGAAATCCTCATTAATTCAAAATTTGAAGTAAAAATTCTGCCCAAATTGTGATAAACTTATGTTAATTTGTTTGCTTACATTGATGTCTCTCCATACTATAAGAATTATAGACCAAGAACAACTCTAATCTGGTCAGCATGGTTTTACTTTTACAACAAGACATTTTCAGGTGTCAGCTAACCCACTGTTCTTCAACCTTGGGTCTGCAAACCAGTGTCGGTCCATAGAAATTTTGTGAGGACCACCACCACCTCCAAATATATATATATATTTGTAAACTTATTTGTAATAATTTTTGTTTATTTATTTTATACCCTTTTATTATGTATTTGTGTAAACCTTAACCAAAGTTGTAAGAGGAAATTCGCCTATTTTACCAATCTAGGAACTCCCCCTTTCCAAATTTAAAATCTACTTAATTAATTAGAATAAAACAGTTTATTATTAATTAACTATCAGAAATCTCACAACATGCCAAAGAAAAGAGGAAAGAACAATTAAATAATCAAAAACATATATAGAAATGGAGAACATTGCATCCCCCTTTGTTTTCGGCAATGTTTACATGAAGAACTTAGTCAAAGCAATCAATGAACAAACAATGACTAAGAACAAAGATGAGTCTTGTCAACTCAGAGAAAGCTGGACATCATCACCAAATAAGAAAAAACTGCCTCAGCCACAATGATGACATTGCCAATGAATCATCACCCAATGATGAACTTTCTCATGCTGAAAGGGTTTAAAAGGAGAGCCCCAACCAGAGAAAGGGCAGTCAGAGAGGAAGACACGGTCCAGTCAGAGAAAGGCAGTTAGAAAAGATACAGTCCAGTTAGAGAGTGCAGTCAGAGAGGACGACATCGTCCAGTTAGAAAGAGACAGTGAGATAGTCAGCAGTTGTGGACACAGCTCCAACCAGAGAAAGAGTGGTTCAAGAGAAGACAACTCCAAAAACGAGCAAGCACGAGACAAAGTGCAGTGAACACCAGAAACCTCTGCAGTCTTGGCTGTCAAGTCCACGTCACAAGAGAAGACATCTTGTTTATCTGGTATGTTGTGATTCGCGTAAGTTTGAATACCCCCCGTTAGGCACCCCCTCGTTATATAGATAAAAATAGACAAATTTCCAAAATTGGCTTTTATAATTCTGTTCTGAACTTTCGTTTATGTTAATAAATGTCCTTAAATTGGTTATATCTGACTCTACATTCTTCCTCCTGAGAGGCTCATTCCTGGACTTCAGAGTGACTTTTACCCTCGCGCCTTGATCATCCATTTCATCACAAACGGTGGTGTGTCCGATAAAACACACCTGGTGGCAGGACTCTACCCAAAAAAGTACGTAATAAACCTTTTACGGCCCTCGAACCCCACAATTTCCTGCTGGTCCACAAAATATTTTGTAGACTGGTACTTAATTTTGTAGTAACAAAATAAGATTTTTAAATTTTAATTAATATAAACAGTTATTTATTTATTTTATTATTACAACCTATATATATAATCAAAATGGGTTGATAATAAACAGCACAGAACCCAAACAGTTAGGAGTTGAAATTTGGTACACAGTTAGGGTATGTCATGAGAATGTACACTAAGAAGGGATTATTTGAAATTCCCCGTGGGGAGAGGGACAGGATTAAGGCTTCAACAATGGAAGTATTAAGTAACAATGGAATAATTAAGAGAACGCGATGTACAAGATTTACAGATGATGCAGATGCAGTTTTTTTTCGTTTTTGCGGGAAATCAAACATATTTTTTAGACCCATCTAAAAATTCTCTAATTAGTCTGGAAACAGGGGACCTAATTCTTGCATTCTGTGAAAATGGGTAAGATTGACTATAATGTAATAATCTTAATCTTTGCTATTGTTACTTTTTGCACAAGCAATGCCTGGCCTATTTGCTAGTTGTTTAAATAAAGTCCTGACAGTCACTCTGTCTAAGTAGTTTAAGTCTTAGAAAATTTATCTTTTAAATTTAGCCTTCTGCTGGTCCACAGGTGTGAAAAGATTGAATCTTATCCAACCCATAGACAAGTTTTCCCCCTCTTAACTCTTAAAATATGGCTGGGTTTCGGGACTGCAAGATTTAGTTACGATTAGCAGATTGAAATATTTGTAGGGCTGTAGGTTACTATATTTGGGCAGTTTAATCATTTTTAAATGGCTCAAAAAGTAATACATTTTAAGAAATTCTATTTTACATTTTATGAAACCTATCTGGCAACCTGTGAGGTTCTCACCTGACACATGCTGTTTACCTTCTCATTTATATTCTTCTTATTATTAATTAACAAAAATAACATTTTCTATATGTAGCCATATTCTGTTTCCTTATTAAATTACATCAGTTACATGGCATTTGGCATATTGTATAGAAAAATGTAAATCTTGGATATTGGCAATTATCTTGTCCCTTCAATTTCTTGTTCTTTACAATTTCTTTTGACTAAAGAAGCTTTATTAACGCTGAACTCAGTGAATTTGTACCCAGAAACTAGACAAATATTGGCGTGAGTTTTTAAATTTATTTTTATCTTGTCCCTTCAATTTAAATCTAACAAGGACTTCCTGTATTAGTTTTTTGAACTGATTCTAAATGTAGAATTTTGTTTTTTTGTCGTCCCAACAACCACCATAAACTCAAAAATACTTTTGACTAGATGTAAGAGTGGTTTCTCCAACAAAATATTTGAATTTTTATGAACATTGAATTTTAGCTAATGCAAAAATTAAATAAAGTTTCCATATACATTAAATCCATGCTATACATATTTTAAAAATTAATTATTCTATAGTAAGCCACTGAACCTTCAAAAATTTCATTTAAAAACAGTTGTTATGCCAGAAATTCTGTTATAAACATAATTTTGAATAAATTTTAACATAAAATTTATTTTAAATTTTATTACCTCAGCAGTTAAATACTCCAAAATAGCAGCACTATATACAGCTGCTGTTGCTCCTACTCTTCCGTGACTGGTAGTTCTACTTTTTAGGTGTCGATGAATACGACCTACAGGGAACTGAAAAGAAATTAACATATTAATTTATCATCAATGTATAAATAATAATGCACAAAAATAATAAATTTTGATATTTACAGTGTATCAAATTCACTGTCAACAGTATTGGTTTTATCATTTTAGTATACAACTTTCCAAATTATAAGTATCATTTGCAACATAATTCTGCATGAATTTAGTTCAAATTTCTCAACAAGCCAATTTGATGAAATTCTCCAATGCAACTAAATGATATGCTTATTTCCAAATAGTAAATAAATTTGTATTTACAACAGTACAGATAAGAAAATATTACCTAGTTATAAGCTTAAATTATTTTATGTAATCTACAAATAAGTACAAAAGAACCATTTCAAATTCAAGAAATAATCTGTATTTAGATATTACATATTTGATAACAACTTCTAAATATTGAACACATTGTTGCAAATAGTATATTCCTTGATGCAAGCTTCAATCAGTTCATAAAAAAACTAATGATGATGCCTGTGGAAAATCTATGAGAAAATATTAACACAATACTTTCATGCACCATCACTTTCAGCGATAACTAATGGCCAGATTTATGTGCATTTAAAATCTCAATATATGTACAGTACATAAGTATGCATGCAAAAAGCACCAGCAGTGCACATACTAAAATTTGTAGGTTTAAATGAATGGATACATACTTCTGTTTGTGAACATATCTTAATAATTTCTATGACATCGTGCATTTTAGGTGGAAAGGTATAAATGTGAGACACAAGTAAAAGGGATTTGAAAATTATGATGTTACAAAACATGTATTAGAATAACATTTCATATAGAAGGTATGCAATAGTCATGAAATTTTATAGCTTTCTATGCTATCTAAAAACAACCATTATTGAATTTATACCTACAGTGCAAATCAGTCCCTCCAGAGTGGGCCACACCAATGTGGCTTGGCTTAGTGGCAATGTCATTACTAAAGCTCAGATTTTAAAGTTGCAGCAACTCACTCACACTAGTTTAGGGGAGAAAGCAGAAACACTTCATTTGTATTTATTTCATGTTTATGTAACAAATGAGCTACATTTGTTTGCACCCTTTTCATCTTTCCCTTTTTAATGATTTAGCACCTTTCCCCCTTTTCCTTATCTTAATTCGTAATAACTTTTTTCCCCCAAAAAAACAGAATAAGCATTTATTAAATATAAAGTAATAATTTAGCACTTTAATATTTGTGATTTACAATAACAACAGCAGAGGTCACAAATCTACAAGATTGAATTTCTAACATTTTCTCCTGTTGTTTTGTAATGCCAAAAGTGCAAAGATGTAAACCACAAATTGGCAAATTCCTTCAAAGATGAAGGTATTGAAACTGATGGAAGTATATTTTGATGTAATGTATAATTCAGTTTTGCTAATTAATAATAAGCATTTGTCATCTTGAGTGAAGGGTCACATGGAGAAATTGAAATGAATATTGTAAGGAGCTACACAGGTCATCTAAATAACAAGATTTTACAGGAAATTCACTAAATAATGCTACTAATCAACCGGGAAATAAATTCTATCAAGATCTTGCAACAACTTTTCTGCAATGAGTGCAGCTGAGTAAAATAAACCATTCATCACTAAAGAATTTTCTGGATAAGTATACAGATGGATGAATGCTTAAAGAAAGTACTGTACATTATAAAAAAAACAGAGCCAGTCTACAAGCATGTCCTTGATAAAAATCATTTCTATTATTGGTGATAAGCCTGTTTATTACAGATGAAGCAATGAAAAAAACCAATTTTTCCTTATCACACAATTAAGTGCATTCAACAGACACCAGGCTTTACATTTGTCTTTATTCTGTTGTTTAGGTGCAGATACGCATTTCGGGTGTTTGCCCCTCTTCTGTCGGCTTATAGCCTTTCACTAAAGGCTGTTTTCCTTGATTCCTTGTGTTTTGTTCTTGTTTTGTACATCTTAAAACTTTAGCAGGGATGTAATGTTTCCAATCTGTATAAATTTTCTGTGTACTTCATCGTGTAATAAGGATAAATAGAGACAAGACACGGTTTCAAATTGGGGGGGGAAACCAATTTGTTTTAAACAAACTTGTGGCACCATTTACAGGCAATTCAGTTACTCCAATGCTCATCAAAATAAATGAACTACCAAAACAAATGCCTTATCCATCATGCAATGATCTCTGTTCAACAATCTGGCCAGATGGAATAAAATTTGACCTTGTGTAGAAAGTGATAATAGAACAAGCTTTGTAAAAGTTTGAAAATGACATACCCTAAACTTAAACACATTACTTACATCACACATGCCCTATACAAAATTTGTAAATCCAATTGTGCTAAATACAGCAAAGCCAACAGATTTTACATCAGAGATGAAAAAAAAATGTTTTTAAAGTGTCCATCTCGTCTTCAGCTGTACAGTGAAATAACACAGTGGTTCCTAAACTATCAGTCTGTGGCACACTTACAGGTTTAGTATTTAGTCCCAGCAACCTTGTCAAAATGTGTGTACAATGACAAATCACACAAAGAAATTAAAACAACTCTTAAGATAAAGCTCACATTTATTAAAATTGAATTACAAGAACCATCAAACTAAAATATGAAAATACAAAAAAATACGAAATAAATGATGAAAACCTTCAATGACAAGTAAGTTAATGTGACGGGTGAGCTTTGATAGCCACATTTTTCAAAATGTGGAATAAGGTTTTACACTGCCACTCTCATTTCTCACTCCACATTGATTTTTGAGTGATATTTGCATTTTATTACAGCTAGAGCTGAAAATCCGGCTTCGCATAAATACATTATCGTAAAGGAAATGAGGAACCTTACAGCTTTTGAACTCAGAGTTGGATATTCATTTTTGATTGATATCCAAAACTCCACTAAATCGGAAGAAGCAAATTTTGTTTTCAGGCTGTTGTTGCAAGAGAGTTCAGTTAGATTCTCTCCTTGCAAAGTGAATTCCAGTGGAGCTTGAGCACAGAAAGGATCTTGGATCCACACAAATTTCTCATTGTCTTCTTCAAAGTATTTTGTAAACCAGTCACTGAGCTTTGAGAGATGTTCCTTGAAAAGGGACAGCAAGTCTTATGGAACAATGACTTTATTACAGGCCACACATTTGTGCAATTCAGGGAAACAATGTAGACCATCATCCTCATTGATTTTTCTTATCCACAACTGCAGCTTTTTCCTAAATGCCACAACCACCTCCAAAAGTTTCAAAATGTGCATGTTATTGCCTTGCAGAAACAGATTGAAGGAATTCAACTTGTCAAATATATTACACAAATATGCTAGTTTCAGCAAAAAGTTGGGTTCAGCAATCCTGGAGTTTTCATGACCTTCCTCTTGTAAATAAGTGTGAATTTCTTGACAGCTTGAATGCATGGGATAAGACATTGCCACGTGAAAGCCATTGTGAACTGCAGTAGTATAGCAGCGACGTGTGTTCAGCTCCAATGTCCATACATCATCTTCATGACTGTATTTTTACTCCTATTGAATTCTGAATTGTCTGAACATTCAAACATTTTAAAAATTGGTTAAAAATGTTTGTATAAAAGAAAGGAAACAACTCTGCCTTACAAAATAATAAAGTTTGAGTTTGTCCAATTATATTTTTTGAGTTAATGATAATTTTAAAAATAAAAACTTAATCTACAAAAAATTTATTTAGTTTAATCCATTTAATTTTTTGTCTTTTTTCTCTATCATTTTTGGTCTAAAAAGGCCACAAGTCACAGAGTTTATCAATTAGTGTACAAAATGTCAACAATTGTTTTCCTTGTGTTTTTTCCTTGTTTCTGATTTTGAGTCTCATTTTGCTTGCATGAATCATCACAACTCCAAGGTATTTCAGAGAAATCCGGGCAGTTGTCATTTACGTCTTTTGATATGTTGTGGAGAACAAAACAAATGATTAAAGGGGGTACACAATCCAGCCCAACTCACTGTGTAAGCCAAAACAGAAAACAAGCACTATACAGCATTCAATAACAAGACATTCCTTCATAAACACTTTAACAAAGTAATGTTCTTCAGGAGTCTTAGGGTTTTGCAGGGAGTCAACAGCCATGGTGTAATACTATAAGCCAACATCTATCTTTGGACTTTATCATAACTTTACATTCTGCACTACATTTCCAAATTTTGCTGTCATAAACACACTCAGGCACTAGTAAACCACACATTGGTATTGCATATGACCTGAATGGTGATCATTGATACTCCTTTTCATTTAACAAATTTGTCCTCACGAAGGCCAGGTTTCAACATTCACACATGTATTGATACAATCAAGTGCTAAAATATCTTTTGGAATCGAGAATTATTTTTGCCAGTCCTGTTATGAAGTCATTTCATTAAATGTTTTTGGAAACCTTATCTACTCCTCTGCAATAATGTGTTCAGTTACCTACATAGCAATAAAATACAATAATTCATTTTTCTCCCAATGATACTGTAAAACTTTTAAAGTCTCCTATTTAATAGTCTTGCTGACTTCTAGAGTGAATGCCAATGTTCACGACTCCCGCCTGAAATTCTAAATCTAAATATATATAACTCAAAGGTGACTGACATAGTGATCTATCAACGCACAGCCCAAACCACTGGACGGATCGGGCTGAAATTTGGCATGCAGGTAGATGTTATGACGTAGGCATCCGCTAAGAAAGGATTTTGATCAATTCTACCCCCAAGGGGATAAAATAGGGGATGAAAGTTTGTATGAAACTTTGTCAATTTTAAACCGATCGGGCTGAGACTTTGCATGCATAAAGCTACTATGACGTAGGCATCCCCTAAGAAAGGATTTTGATAAATTCCACCCCTAAGGGGATAAAATAGGGGATGAAAGTTTGTATAAATCTTCTTAGATTTTCGACTGATTGAACTGAAATTAAAGATTGGAGCTACTATGATGAAGACGTCCGCTTAAATAGGATTTTGATAAATTCAACCCCCATGGGGATAAAATAAGGGATGATGGAGGAT